TTGTGTACACAAAAATAATGGGAAAAAACGAAGAATGAACTTACTTATAAGTTTGCATATTTATTAAATAAAACACATGAATGCTTACACATATACGCATACACAACAACAATCGAAAGACTAATAAATTAGACTTGCAAATTAGATAAGACAAAGATTAATTAAATTATTTTCAAGTGAAAAATGTTTAAATCAAAAAGGAGAAGTTTTCAGAGAACTGTTTCTCGGACTAACTGATTAGGCAAAAAGGTGAACGATGCCAAAATCCAAGTATTACACATGGATGCATAATGGTTTAAATTTATCTAATCTTCATAACTAATAAAATCGTTCACTTTTAATGGATACTATAACTAAACCATGAAATTGTATGAAGCAGTGATTATTGGTAGTCGGTTAAAACAATGAAACCCATTAGGCTCACTAATATGTGGATTCCAATGATTTGACTGATGAAAGCTAATACACGTGGAATCCGCGTCAAGCAAAACTTTTTGCCGATTTTCTTTAGCACAAATAGAACAATTGTGAGATTAACAACTTCACCCAAAAATCTGAATTTAGTTATTCAGTTGTATTTTCATGCGTTCTTATTTCACTTAAGACTGTCTAGTCCTACATAGCCCAATGATACTGTATTTCTTTTTTATGATTTGACGGTAACCATTATTTCTAGTAAACAAAACACAAACTATTATTTTTTGGATGCTAACCTTCTTTTAAGTTATGATTATGATAAAAATACGGCTCAGTAATACAAAAAGTTATTTCGTAAAGATATGTATTTCTTCACTATGAACAGCACATTATCTGTCAATGATGAAAGCTTGCCATTAACCCCTTGGAATTTAAGTCTGAATCAAATTAATGGAATGATGAACAACAGAGAATGCAAACAACTAAGACCTGAAAAAAGTATTCAGCTGTTGACAGGAAAAATAATACTATCACAGGCAACTGACAATTTTCGTGGTCTTTGGGACCAGCTTTATAACCGGCAATCCTAAAATATGTGTACTCTGCAGTATTTCCTTCGTATTGATTTAGGGCTGTGAAACATGGATGTTTAAGTGAGAAATGTGGAAAAGTTAGTGGTTTTCCACAACGAGTGCTTTTGGTAGAGTAATACAACGACTAAAAATGAGGTCAAGTGTAGGGTGTTAGGTAAGTTAAGTTATTCAGTGAGGCTGTGAGACATTATTAATTAAAAAGGTATACCGACCTGCTGCTTTCCTCTATGACGGGGTTTAGCTGAAGTAGACCTAGAGTGGAAAAAAGATATAGTTGGCACCAATGCATCTTTGACTGTTGGTGTGGGGGACATATGCAGGTGGAGACTGTATGGTTGGGGTCCTCGAGTGTTAGGAACCAACAGTTACAGACTACTGATGACATGACATATAACTATCCATGGTGGTGCCATCTTCTAGGTCCTGAAAATCCATACCAATCTTATTCTAACTAGTCGTTCTTATATACATTTTCCTCCATGTCATTATTTCTCTTTTCTCTGCTTTTGTTTTTTCCGAAAGATAAGAGCAACTGTTACATTTTGTTCTGTGGCTCTACTTTCTGAAAACGTATTCAGAAGGTATATTTCAACATATTCAACACCAAGCCCTGCTTAACAGAAATACTTTTAATGAGCACTACCAAAATTTCTCTCCATAGCTGATGCACTACTAAACTTATTCTTGGCTAAATGGGTTGAATTACGGAAGATGACGAATTCAGTTTCAGTGGCGGTCGAATGTAGAGTTCGTGGAATTTGAAGCAGCATAATAAGAATTAATAAGAGCAGCTAAATGGTGGAGATACTGCTCGTGGGGAAAGCACAGGGATAAAAGAATGGAATTAATATTTACAGTAAAAAACTATTTTTTTAAACTGCTGCCTGATAAAAGATAAATAATGGATATCTTCAGCTAGAATTCCTTTGTAAAGTATGACATAGATCAATTTTGTTCTCGGATGACTGATTAATCGACATTAAATATTGAGCTTTCCTCCATTTAATTATAAGTACGAACCATATCACTTTAGTTTGTCACTTTTCTTAAACAGGATAAAAATAGTTGGAGAAAATAAAGTGATATGATAACAAACATTACATCTAAAAAAATAAGGACGGTTAAATGAAGACGAGCAAAACAAGACACCAAAGATGAAGAGTAGCGTCACGGTTCACTGGACTAAGCATTAGTGCTTCAACACTTAGATCACAGGTTCGAAACACACCTCATCTTCTGTATTTTTGGTAACTAGATAATATCAACAACCCTTACACAACTGTTGTGGCTCATTTCCATACTCATCAACATCTATGCAAATGTTAAGTAACATATGTCTATACGAAGCAGGGGAAGATAGGAGAATGTAACTCAAAGTCATTAACCACTGAATTTTACAATAGTCAGAAACTTCACCAGTCAACATTATGTTTCGAGTGGACAAGAAGGAAATGTAGTCATGTTAATCATTCTCCAACTAGCAATGTTTAACAACACAATAAAATACTTTTGTTCTTATTACTGAACAGATACTTCAAAACCAGTTCACAATTAGGAGCTGCAGAACAGGTGCCAAAATACTCAAAATGTCTACAAATTTAGTGTTTATCGAGCTCTAACGTCTAGAAAGACTGAATGTTTTAGCTTACATAGATGTTCTTCAAGAATCAGAATTAATATATCACAAGGTAGATGGTAGTAGTGGATTCTGATAAGAACATTAAAAGTCGAAATCAGTTAGGGTTATCATTTTTCTTCGGTGATTGAAACAATGTTCTATAAAGGCGTAAATAGCTACCTAAGATAGATTACGAAGTTCAAAGGCACATAGATTTAATGCCTCTCAGTTACCAAAGGTGATTGATAAAAAACTTTTTAAATTCTAAATAAGCAGTTGAAGCTTAGCGACTTAATAGAAACAATAATAGTTTTAGAAATGTAGTTCATTTATAAGATCCACGAAAATGAAGAGCGGATTCAATGTCTTTTCTTCGCATATATGTATGGATCTGTACACCCTCAGTTTTCCTTTCCACCAGGTCAGAATATTTCAGGAGACATAGCAAGAGATTTCAAAAGTCAAGTAGAAACTATATTGCTGTGGAGTGCTGGTGTTGCTACCGAGTCATAAACTCCCAGAAGTAGTGGTGTCTACGATCTCAACTGACGCGTTCAAGAATGAACTACACGAGAAGAGGTTTTTATTAGAAAGTGACTGACACAGGCTTGACGCCTTCCAAATTTAACCAGAAATCCGAATCTTGATCTGAAAAGCTGACAGACTAGTTATTGACTCCAGTAATTTAATACATAACATGAAAACCATCCTGATTTTATATAGTATTATTGAAAGTAAACTTTAGTTTTGTAAGCTTTTGTGTTATCATTAGGGATGCAGAAGGTGAGACCGTGACACAATTACAGTTAACTTTAAAGCTAAAGTTGAGACTGATAACTTTCACACTTTATTAGACAGGTATATGGATTTGTGAAATTAGTTAGTCATTTCAATACGGATTAACTTAAATGATACAATTGTGGCTTGGACAAGCAGCACTACGAATTTGGTGCTAAAATTCAGTTCTAGACACAAGTGACAAAACTGAAGGTTCTGTAAACTTCACTTAGGATATGCCACCACTCTATGGTTTCATGGATAACAAATAAAGAGTGGAAACGCCATATATGCATACCGTCCCCGTGGGTTTAAAATTAACTGATGCAAGCAGTAACTCTAAAAACTGTCTGAATAGAATGAATATTCTTTCGTCCTTGAACATAACACATATTTTCATGTTTAATTTAAAGATAAAAAATATAGCTGTAGTCAGAAAACGAAAATATGACAAAACTGCGCAAATAAATGTGCAACAACACACATAAGTTCTTATAGGTACTGTAGGATAATAGTTGAACACTTTGTTAATTTTCGAAGGAAGTATGAAAGTTTTTCCTTTTGCGATATGTTCGTCTAAGTTTGTAAAAGACAAAATAAGCAGAGACTATGTGATAAACAGAGATAAATGACAGATCATTTGATCGTTTTGTAGAACCAACCTATCATCGCTACTATTTACGGTTTTCCACATCTTAATATCGTCCGCAAATAGCATGGAGGATGAGGTAAGAATTTTCGGCACTACATTTACGTATAATACGGAGAGCAGGGGACTAAGTACAGTTCCCTGAGGTACTCCATTTAGTACTGCTTTCCACCATGACAGTACTTCATTGACCCTTATCCTCTCCCTTCTGTCCATCAGGTAGTCGCTAAACTACTCACAGGCGTTGGTCTAATCTAAAACGTTTAAGTTTACTAAGAAGACCTAAATGGGATACCTTATCGAATGCCTTACTAAGATCGATAAAGACGACGTCCATTAGATGGTTCTTATCCCTGGCCTCGACCCAGTCTTCCCTAGCTAAAAGTAAGTTTGTCAGGCAGGATCGTCGTAGTCGGAATCCATGATGTTGTATATAAAGTCACAAAACTGGTAAAAAGATAACTATTTTACTGAGATCCGTATATTTTTCTTATCTATTCCTTTAATTTTATCCAAAATTCCAATTTTTCCAGGGAACCACTTATCCTATCAGGCTTCCCCATCATATGCATGTTGTAATAATTAGTTGGAGTTATAGCCTTAACTGATCCACCACACAGTAATCAGACAATTATTAGGCGAACACAGACCAGAAGCAAGAGTGTGAATTGGTTAAACAACCTGTAAATATAACCCATTATCGATTGTCATGTGTTTGGGTGGCCACTATGGTCTGAAATCACTGAAGAAATGATGCCACATTCAGCACTCTAATAGCTCAGCTATATGTATTTTCACTATCGAATGGAGGTTCTCTTTATCAGCACGCAGTGTTTCTGCCCTTAAATACATTGATAATGTAGCAGTGAGTTATTACAAATAGTATTAATACATGTTATGTATGTAGCATAATGCTCAAAAAGATCAGATATTCAGTGTTGCTCACCTTTTTGATTGCACATTTCATGCCATCAGCTTTTCTTAGGCCTTGATAAACAATACCGAAACTGCCTTCACCAAGCACTGGGCCGACTTCATATTCATTTTCCAGTTGAGATGGTGTATTCATACGAATATAAACGAAATCACCTTTCTTGGAATTTTTAGTAATCGGAGTCTCATTTTCCATATCATCTTCATGTAAACTACTACTTTGCATCAAACTGATTCATGAAAAAGCATTAAAACATTTCTGAGTACCGCAACCTTTCGAAACGGTTGCACATCCCAAAGACATAACTTTTTAAGAGATGAAAAGCCTGCAAATATCATAGTAAAACCATTTCCACTACAAAGAAAATCTAATCTTGACGTGCTCGTTTCAACGCGATTACCGAGGAAACCAATGGCGAATTTTCAAATAATGTTTTAGTTTCTGTGTTATAACACATAATATCAAAATATACAGATTTGTGTCAGGACACTTCAATTTTCTGAAATTTTTTCAACTAATTTCTTGACTGTTTACTTTTATTTGCCAAAAATTACATTCATGGAGCCTGTTGAGGGCAACGAGTTAGATAATGCTGAAAAAGATAATGACCAAGATAATGGTTCAACTACAAATGCTCCAATACAGAAGGAATCTTTGCTTGAACAGAGGGACACTGACGAAAACTCAGAGTTTCGGAAAAGTAATGAAGTATCTTCGGCCAAGACTAGAAGAAAGAGTAAAAGAGTTTCTTCAACACCTGGTATGTTTTGTTTTGTTTGTCTAATATAAAATTTACTAAACAAAGCGTACTGGTACACTGACACTGATCAACTTCAGTACATCAAGAATTGTAGAGCAAGTGGAACGATACCATCTAGATACTTTTTACGTCACTTGAAAGATGAGAACCTCAACCTGAAACATAGTGTTCTGGGACTGAGAAAACTGAAACCTATACTAGCAAGCATTTCTAACAACTTTAGTATAACACAACTGGATCTTACAAATGCTTGTATAAATGATGAGGTAAGAAATCCTAAAATTTTTCATAACTGCAATAAGTTTCTCTTTTATATTTTGTCAATGATGTCGGTGTACACATGGGTATTGTAACATATATTTAGTACTCATACTTATGTGTAGTAGATTCAAATCAAGATTTAGATTGTTTTTTGGGCATGTGAAGCGTCAAGTCTGTGTTAGTCATTTTCTAGTAAAAATCTCTTCTCGTGTAGTTCATTCTTGAACGCGTCAGTTGAGATCGTAGACACAACTACTTCTGGGAGTTTATGACTCGGTAGCAACACCAGCACTCCACAGCAATATAGTTTCTACTTGACTTTTGAAATCTCTTGCTATGTCTCCTGAAATATTCTGACCTGGTGGGAAGGAAAACTGAGGGTGTACCAGATCTTTACTCATTTTTTATAATTTTGAATATTTACATCTGATCTCCCCTTTTGCTTAAGGCGAAATAAGTTGAGATTCGACCATTTGAAGTTTAGTCCCTTTCGATACATTAGTTATACTGGATATCATAGCTACCATTTCTTGATTGTCACCTCGTGATATATGATGACATGTGATACTGTCTGCACCTGAGCTAAAAGTGGCGTGTGAGCTAGTATGAATAGCTTGATATGAACAGTTAAGCACTGCACTACTCTGATGGGATACCTACATTTTCCGGTCCAATATTACAGACTCAAAAATTGTGTTCGTATGTTGCTACCATTCATCAACTCTCTCCGCATCTTAAAATCATCCACTTGCATAGGCAGCGAAGACTTGATTAGCCCAGTTAATTCGTTGATAAAAGCGTAAATAGGAGGATTTAGGTTGTACTTCTTTGTGCTATCCTTCCACTTATCATAGTTGCGAAATCGTCATGATTTTGTGTTCCTTTTATTGATTTGGTCAGGCAGTCTCTCTTATCAAAACTTTCCAATTCCAAGATCTGTCATGTGGGAGGAACTTTACCGAATGCTTTGCTGAAAACTAGGAAAGGCGTCGATGGTTTACTCGTTTTCCATTGAATTTACCTACCTTTCTCTTGCTGTGTTATTTGTAGGATATGAAATTTTTCCCCGAAAACCATGCTGTGATCTGGACAACGAATTTTTGTTTTCTAAACCTGAAGCCATACTCTATTAGCTATTCTCCCCAGTGTCTTGATAGTGTCACTTACACAGTGCCTAGATCCCCCTTCATTGACAGGGGTTACAGGTGTATTCATACAGACTCAGTTACACCATATGTTTGAGCGGTAGTCCGAAGATAATGTTCAGTGTTTCAACTTTTCGATCCTTGAAACGCCTCTAGTGAAAGAGGTCAGGTTAAATGGTTGCTATACGTCTAGTTTGCTTTGAGGCTGGAATAAAATGTTTTTGTCGATGTCCCTACAATTTGTGGAACAGCTTAGTTTGACATTATGGCTGCTAGCTATTCCTATTTGGAGGCGGAAGAGAAACAGGCTGTCACTGTCTGAGCTTTCTCCTGGTGTTTTAGTTACGTCTGCGATAGGGAATCTATCGGACGTCCTATTCTTGAGGTTCAAGTTCGGAAGTATTTGTTTGTTCTTTACTAATGTGTTTAGAGCTAGATGCATTTCATATTAAATCCTTGACTGATGAATTCCTGTAACAGATTCGTTTCTTGCTTTACTGTAGAGCTTTCTGGATTCTGAATTCCTGAGTTTCATAAACACGTTGCAGCAATTGTGTTTAGTCTGTAAATCTCCCGGTTTTCCCATGAAGGGAAATTTTTTTGACCCTCGGAGACTGTCTATTTGATTTATAATTGTATTTCTCAGGCATAAAAATACTTGAATTGATTATATGCGGGTTTACGGACTATTCGTGTGGTGCAAAGTTACCGATATTATTATTTATCTAGGACTCCCACAAGCGAGATAAATCTATGAGTTTGGTCCAAGATACTGCAACAGCTGTGAACTTAAACGTGAGTACAGCGTTATAACCTCTTCCTACAGATAGGAGATGCTATACAAAGCTCACACCCTCACCCTGGTAGATAACTAAGCCAAGTGTTTAAAAGGAGTTCTGAGTACCATAAAGCATTGGTTGCTGAAGGTGCTGGATTTGAGCCAGTGAAATGAAAAAAATAATCAGATGATGTATGAAGGAATTGTTTGAGAATACAGTGAAAGAATTTTTACAGTTAACTACTGGGACATTGAAATTATCCACTACAAGGAGCCAAAATTTTGGTGCCCATGAACCTAGTTCCTCCTTGAGAAATTTGTACGCTGTGCTATTAGGTCAGTGACATATTGCGATGAAGTGTAGGTCTTGTTCTTTTCATTTTAGTCTGCAGCGTTGAACTCCTCTCGACCTACTTTCATGTGCAAGAGTTTTTGCTACTCAAAGGTGGACTTTTCTTGAAGGAGATGACTACTCCGCTGCTCTTAAAATTTATTCTCACTGCCCTATGCATGATGAATTCTGGTTAGTTGATTTCAATGTCGCTAATTTCGGGTGTTAGCCGTGATTCCGTAATGATTATAGTATCCTAATTTTTAAAGCCAGTCACACTACCCGGCTCAGTTCACTTGCTAAATAGTCTGTGGGTATCAGTATAGCAAAGTGTTAGTTCAGTCTGGTGCCTCCATGTTTCGCCCATAAGGGTTTGGCAATTATCAAAATTTTCTAGCGCTGCCGCTGCAATCCCACCAACTCCAGCTAAGCAGATCATGTTTTGATGCGGTCTGGCAGACATAAGCCTGCGCGGACGTCGGTGCCCGGAGAGTTTCATATCACAATGATATGTACAGACAGTAGAATAAGTACATTCATTTTGGAGCTGGTAAACTGCATAGACTTGCTCTCCAACAAGTGGTGTTATTTTCATTGGGGCTCAAAGCCTGAATACATAGCTTTATCCATTGGGCAATTGGACTCGGACTGTGTTAAGCAGTGCTTCATTGATAGAAGAATGTAAATCTCATCAATATGGAGTCATAACGTGTCCACCAAAGGAGGTTACAAAATTAACTCCCTTTTCTGTTCAATAAAAATATAATCCAGTATTTCATGTATTGTAACGTATAAGTCCTGTTTGGTCACCTATATCATGCACAAGTCTTTTCCATAGTCCATTGTTTCTAGTTAAGTCAATTTCATAGTTTGTTTGGTATAACCGTTACGTAAATGTAAGTGGCATCTTAGTTTTAGCCAGAAGAATAACCTTACAGACAGCTGTTATAGAAACTGAGAATCATTTCAGTCCCACCATTATTTTGGCATCTACAGCTGTCTATCATCCAGGAAGCGAAACTAGAGCTAAAGAATAGCCTACTATTCTTTCAAATACTTAAATTCTAACAGTCATAACAATGGATCAGTAAGTGTGAAATTACACAGGTTAGTGAATGAAAATTCGGAAGCAACTCAGTGTACGGTGATAGCCTACCACTATAGTTTTCGCTACCTTTGGGACCTAAATTAAGTATCTTCAACATTTAATTTTTTATTTGCATTATACATCACTTTCAACGTGCTTTTCACACAAGACACTTGGCGTATATATATTTCATTTATTTTCCAAATGCATAATTTCTGCACTTTTCACTGGTTATTTCACTACATAAGGAGTTTCAATCTAAATCCCATCGTTCCATTATGGATAAAAATTATTTTGATAAAGTCACACAGTGTTATACAGTAATATTCACTGATTGTTCACGTTACTGAAATGTGCAGAGAATGTTTAGCTGCGATACTCATCGGATCACCGATAAAATTTTGACTACACTAACTCTATAATTCACAATAAATTTTCCGTAGTTATTTGTTCGTTGGATTGTTCACCTCCGATTTGGTCTCTTACATTTATTTTTGTTGATGTATACGTCATAAATTTTGAATTATTGTACAAATGAATTGTGCTTCACCACTGATCTTTGTTTAATGTATTCCTGAGGTGTTCACTCTTAACATAAGGTGTTTCTATCCTCTTTTACAGAATTTGTCATGATAGGGAATCAGAGCTCAGACTGTTAGATTGGAACGAATGATTTTTTAAAAGTTATTTAACAGTTTCTGTCTTGTTTTACTTCTGTTTTTTAGTGTGTTAATGATTTATGCCATATGTTCAGAGAGAACACATGTATAACTGACCTTAATTTGTCTGAAAACCAAATCACTTCTAAATCAGCTGAAATTCTCTGTGAAGTGCTTGCATCGGCTACACAACTTTTAAGATTAAATCTACGAAAAAACTTATTTAGTGACAGTTCAGGAATATTCTTCTCTGAATTGATTGCAGTAAGTTATCGGATAAAATTTTTAAAATTGAGTTTATTACGTTTCCATTCATATTCTATACTGAAGCAAAAGATTACAACTAAAAAACTGTATATAGTAAGCCTGTCTACAGAGCATTCTTGAAGGACGTCAGTATAATTTATAAACCACGTCATTTACTAGCATGCATCATGTAGTAGTTCACGCTATCTTGATATCAATCATGTTGTCAAACAATTTGAAAATTATCAGTTTATTTTTTAAGGTTTCTGAAAGTAACAGGGCGAATTTCACCATACACTATATGCTTTACAAGTAACTAATTGTATTTTAATATCAAAACCACCTATCTTGAGGTTTCATAGAACAGTACTGTTCTTGTATAGAAACTCTGTAGATGCACCATTTCGCATGCTTAATCAGTACATGACGGTTAGTATGGTTTCTTTACTCTAGTAAGGTCTCTCTCTCCCTATATATATATATATATATATATATATATATATATATATATTCAAAAATGCATCATTCATTTCAAAATATATACAGTAACTCACGGCTTGTTTAGAGAAGTGAATGACTGTCGACTTTTTATTTTACACTGTACAACATTTAAAGGATGCAGGATATTGTAGAAAGGTTAAATTTGGATGAAACTCACATGAAAAGCAGAAGCCACGATGTAATTATTTGTTACCACATGATAAGATGGAAATCATAGGCCTCCGCTGTATCATTGTAGTAAAAAAGTCAAAAAGCTTACATAGGATCCCTGATAACACTGGAAATACGACTGCATCTAAACAGATTCATTCATGCCCAAATCATTTTGGCCTAAGGATTTTATTGATATGGTCAAAACAATAATTTAGTTCTCGAAAAGTTATTCGGTGACTGTGAGGTTATAATGTAAGAATGTGGGAGTTTAGCTAGACTCATAATAACAGGCTATATACTCATTCGGGAAATGCCCTCAGTCTTTTCTATGAATTCGTTGGTATGCGATCAGACAGAGTGCTGCAACAACTTATAAGACTTTAAATATGGTAAAATTAGGCACAGAGGTTGTATATAGAATCTTTTTTCATAGAAGTAGTAGCTGCAAAATATAAGAAGAGTAGAGAAACCATAAGCTTGGATATGTGAGGAACTGTAATGCTAATGAAATAAAATATACAAATTTGTATAACAATGTAAGGCAGTTCGGAATGCGTTGCAACTCAGGATAACTAATAATGTGTCATTGTATGTTAAATCAAATAGGCGGATATTATTACTGCTATTCCCTTGTGTTCCGAGCAGAACATAGGGCTTAAACAACACATCTTCACTTGATCCTTTTTCCTGAGGTCCTCTTTAGCTAGACCAATGATTGCCCATAATCTGTCTCCAGTAATTTTGAAGGCTTTCAGCTTGATCCTGAAGGTTCTTTGAACTAGGTAAGGGTGTCAGCCCACATCTACTCCTCTTCGAAATTTTTTGTCCTCAGGCTGTCTCCACTTTCGTAACATTGAGATGAAATCCATTTGATTTTCGGTGTGTCCTTCTGGTGAAACCTATGTTGATTTGTGCTCGTGCAAGTTGCCCCGTTCGCGAAATCATTGCAGGTCTACACCTGTTTGAGGAGAGCTTTCCTTTCTTATGCACTTTGCCAAGTGTCGCTCGACTCATAATGACTTCTGTTCCTTTACTGTCTGTTCCCCGTCTCACTGGAATTCATTGAACCATTGGGATTTTAATTTCTCCATAAAGGATATTGTCCATCACTGTTTACAGTTGTCTATACCAATCTTACTTCTTCTCTTGTTCCTCATTGTTCGTAGCACTCTGCGATGCATCGGATAATTGCAACCTTCCTTTTCAGTTGAATCTCGCCGTCATAATCCTGCATGACGACATTGGTTCCCACTGCACTGTGGCTTTAGCTGCCACTGGTGACACCGTGATTGCCACCCGCTGTTTCAGTGAATCTGTGGTTGTCGTCGGGTGACGAGACAGGAGTATATTACTGACTGACCAGTTGACAATTTTGACAGTTCACATTTATTCGATCTGCTCTTGCAGATTCCGAGCACTTCTATGCCATATCTTCTCATTTCTTTGGCTACCTGAGCAGCCTTCCTAGTCGGCCTTTTACACTGTACGCGAATTCCACGTCCTCACTCTTACTGTTGCCTTCATCGAGAGAAGACAATTTGGGTGACTTGTTTCCCGAAGTCTTTCAGCATCTTACGTCACTTTCTCTCTCCGATTCCACTATAAAAAGTTTGTTTTTATATTTTCCTTCTGCTTTTAGGTTCCTCTTGTGTTCTGATTGATTTTCCGGGGTAGGGTCGCTAGCCCCAAACCCAGCGCTCCTTTACCTTCCGGGCTTGAGACCACTTAGTAAACTAGACGATGTTAAATACACGAATATGGCAAGCAATATTCACGAATAGCATAATTAACACTCTGTTTAAATGAACAACCGCATCTGGTTGCATTGCACTGCAGTACTCGTTTAGTTTTAATTTGCACTATACTGAATATGCTACCAGTAATAAACTGAGTAAAGATGATCCAGTTCGTCAGACTTTTTATCTAGCAGCCAGTATAACAGATGTATAAAGTATTGTGATATAAAAGGAAATTAAATCTCATTATCTTTTTCCCTTTCTTTTTTTTCAACGCAAATAACGCACACAAAAATTTAGACCTCACTAAATCTTGTTTATATGAATATTTCTTATAACGATTTGGGTGAAATGTCATGCTATTATATTGGACGAGCATTACCTCAGGCAACAACACTTATTGAATTCGATTTAAGTTGGAACAGGCTAAAAGGAAAAAAGTTAGATTTTATCGGTAAAGGTCTTGCTGTAAGTTGAATTCATCTGAGTGATTAAGTTGATTTAATAAATAATGAAGTATATTATTTATTATGCATTGAAATTTTCTTACACAAATGAATGTGAATATATCCAGTTAGTCAATTAGCTGATATTGTGAATCAGATTGACTTTCCACGAAAAAGAGATATCATTTAAAGAACCAGTAGGAGATATTTTGTTGATTAATTACTGAGGATTAGTTCATTGACGTGAGTTCTGGTGTCTGAGGGAATTTGCCAGTACACCCTGCTGATGATTGAGAGTAAGCACCAATCCAGGGCGTCCTACCGATTGCCTCCAGCTAACTGATGACTATTTCGTTTTGGATATTTCTTTCATTCTGGTTTCAAAATATTCAGTACCTATTATAATCAGCTGTCTGTACAGAAAAATAAAAGCATACTTATGTAAGTATGATTAAAGTGGTCCAAATGGATAATTGAAAGAGCTATACAACACCTACTCTGAAAGCCTGTGTAAATGGGAGTTTTTAAAAATAATACCAAGCTGTCGGTTTGCAGGGATTTTACTATATGCAGGTTCGATCATGAGCTGACATCAGTCAGAGAACCACTGGAAAAACTGGGGGTACTGGACAGCTGTTTCGTCCTGGTTCAGGACTCCTCAGTAGTACCTGTCCACCGGGATTTGAGCCCAGGTCCTTCCGGTTACGACGGGAGCCTGTAGACTATTCAGCCGCTGGAACCCGATTGATATATATATATGCACAGGAAGTTACCTGGAGTTATACTGCGAAGTTGTGACTAGCAGGGTCCACCAAGTTAGGTAAGAGAACAGTTACTCGCCGATGACACTAACTGATGGCTGCGCTATGTATCACGGACTGACAGAAGTTAGAATTCATGCGCCATTGAATCGGGTCCCAGTGGCTGAGTGGTCTACAAGCTCTCCTTGTAACCGGTTGGTCCTGGATTCGAGTTCCGGTGGGTGTGTACTGATGAAGAGTCTCGCACGGGTATGAAACGGATTTCCAGTGCTCACTGGTTTCCCAGTGGTCCTCTGACTGATGTCAGATCATGATCAAACCTGTAATTCACAAGTGGTTATGAAGCTAATTCATAAAGCTCCATGTAGCCGAATAAGAAATAATTTTCCTAGTATTAAACCATACTGAATTTTGCATAATTTTTTATCCAAGTAACCAAAGCATCTTTTCCTATCTTGGTTGGAGGGATGGATTTGCAGGTGATTGATTTTTCAGTTATGTTGATATCGACTTTGGCATTAAATATTGACCACTACTACTACTACTACTACTACTACTACTACTACTACTACTACTACTACTACTACTACTACTACTACTACTACTACTACTACTACTACTACTACTACTACTACTACTACTACTACTACTACTACTACTACTACTACTACTACTACTACTACTACTACTACTACTACTACTACTACTACTACTACTACTACTACTACTACTACTACTACTACTACTACTACTACTACTACTACTACTACTACTACTACTACTACTACTACTACTACTACTACTACTACTACTACTACTACTACTACTACTACTACTACTACTACTACTACTACTACTACTACTACTACTACTACTACTACTACTACTACTACTACTACTACTACTACTACTACTACTACTACTACTACTACTACTACTACTACTACTACTACTACTACTAGTAATTCTTCTATTCTTATTATTGCTATTATATCTACTACTAGTTTTAAGTTTACTTTAAATTCAGTTTCTACTAATACCATTATTAAAATGCTATGTAGACGAAAACTAATTATGAATCTGACCTTAAAATTATATAAATGATTGTTGGAATCAATAAAATTCACTTATGGTCAATATTCAGAAAGTTGTTCTAATCAGTAATTCGCTAAGTATTACTAAAACTTTTCACCTGACAACCGTGATCAAGTATCAGACATTAACTTCATGAATAAAATTTTAGTAGAACATATAAAATACTAGATTTTTATCCTCAACATTTACTCTAAGCGAAACATTGTATTAATCAACTAATTGATTCTACAGATACACCTAGTAATATTCTCAAACATTTTAGACTGAATATAATCTTAGTTAAACTTCTGCTTGTTAACATTAGTGTAGAGAGTCTTCAGTGTTGATCGAATGTCGATATAAGCTACGTTATGCTCCACTGAACATAGAATTATAGAAGTTATTTAAGTGAAATGTAGACTCCTAGTTGATTCATTCATTTTTAGATGTTAGGAATTATTTTATCGTACATTCGCGATCAACAGGACGTACAGTGGTTTTCTATTCTGTATCGTGGTTGAATAAAAATGCTAAGAGGTCACCAGACAGTTAGCTTCTTCATCATGTGACATAAATTTTTCATAAATCAGAGTTAGTCATGCACTTGATTCTAGTCAGTCAATGTCTCATCCGAATAAAAATGATGAAATATTTATTCAAAACAGAAATACAAGTTCAGTTATAAGAAAAAGAATCGAAGTTTTGTATTGTGTTCATTCGTCTCTCTTCGTGTTGGCGAGCCCTTATTATTAGCTTGCTGTCTGCTGATGGTGAGATTTGACTTTGTGAATAGATAATGTATGGTGTTTTTAAGAAGTAGTAAAGTAAAATAATGTATGTAGGCAGTGTTATTACTAGTCATTGTAGAATATTTTATTGGCATAATTTCAACAGAATTTTATTTATTTATTTAAACGCAGAAAAACTTAGTACAATATGGCACCAAGAAAGATTTGCCACACAATAATAATAAAACAACATAGATTAAAAGTAAAAATATAGGTAGAAAACGGATAAAGAACTTCATCTGGAAGGAAAACAGTCATGTTTAACAAGTTCAAACAGTATTCGTTAACTATCATCAGGAAGGGAAGAAAGAAGGAAATTGCAACACGTTCGCCATTGATTACGATTCTTGGCCATATCCGATAACGTTTCGAGCCATCGATTTGAGCTATCTCGCGGACCCCAACCAGGGAGTCGTGACACACCAACCGATGCTAATCTAGCACAAAAATCCTTCATCCCACGACGCCACGTCATGGACTGACCACCCCTCCGCCTTTTCCATCCCGTCCCAGGGCTAGTGAACAGAGACCTGTACGGAAGCCTCTGGGATGACATTCGCAGCACATGTCCAAGCCACCGGAGCTGGTGTTTCCAGATGACGACACTCAATGAATGGTGATCTCCACTGTGTTCAAACACACGCCGCCGAACCTCAGAATTACTCACGCGATGATGCCATCGAACGCAAGCAATCCTGCGGAGACAGCGATGATCGAACACGCAGAGTCGCCTCACATCCTCAGCTCGGAGAGGCCAGGTTTCACAGGCGTAGAGCAAGACAGCCCGCACCGAAGCATTGTATACCCGACCTTTGACAGCCAGGCTAACGTCGCGAAGGCGCCCGAGGTGGCTCAAGTTGATGTATGCCACCCTAGCCTTCATTATACGGTTGGAAATCTCAAAAGAATTTGGGATCCAAATATCCAGTAGACACCTATAAAAGATTATATTTATGAGATCCTTAGAAATAAGGAATGTCAACGTTTAATTTGTCTACCTGTTCACTTTCATGGAAAATATGAACTTGTTTACGGAATAAAATGCTGTGACCACTTATTTGATGCTCTTTTAAACTTTACAAATATAACTTTTATAAATTATACCGAATGTTAACTAAACTATATATGTATACTATTTACAGGAGAATAAAAATCTGAAGCACCTTAATTTATCAGCTAATGGAATTGGGCCGCGTGTTGGGTGTCGTGAACTAGCCTATGCTCTAAGAAATAATCAAACATTGAAAACACTAGATTTAAGGTGGTTAACAACAGTTTCTGTAATGTTCAGATTATGGTCATTATTAATATATATATTGGTATATATTTGGTAGTCTACCAAAAAATCTGTGAATATGAAAAACAAAGAGATCTAATAAATCGTATAATTCAGTCATATTCAAAACACAGTTATCAACTCTTTCAAGGTAATTTTAAGTCGACTGACGTCTGTCTTAACATAACTGCATAGACTTAGTACAGTTACATCATATATGCCTAAAGATATTAATGACCAAACTCATGTACTGTTATCACATATAATAATTCGACCTATTAGGCCTTTTATGTTACATGATAAACTCCTTATTTCAAAGTCAACTGAAACACATTACCAGGAATACGCTTCATTTTTTTAACCACAGACGAAGTCTAAAACGTTATTTACCTCCTATAAATTATCTTCGGCTTATCATTTATGAAATGAATTATCATTGAACATTTATTTATTTACAAAGTTAGGCTGTATAAAGTCACTTACTAAAGTTACGATACCTAGTCTAAATAAACCGGTAGAGGTGTACGAGTAACAGTATCAGACAGTTTTGTAGAGAGTTGTGTAATATGATTGCAAATACTAATAGTTTAGTATCTAAAACAATGCGTAGACATAAAAGAAGCTAACACTGCCGTCATGGTGTCACCGATTTGCTCTTCATCATTCACATATCTCCACTGATGAAATCCTTCAATTTTTCCTGAATGGCTATAGTTTTTCATTCTGGCTGATCAAAGTTTAACCAGAATAAAGAAATCCAGTCTGTTCCAGCTGATTATTATCAACCTAGAATACTGAACCGCTACGACTCTCTGACTGACTTTTATATAAAAATTATTTATAGTAATTCATGATAAAAATAAATCAGTTGATTTGGCAAATGTAACTTGATTACAGGATTTTCATCATGAGCTGACATTAGTTTGAGCACCATTGGAAAACCTGGGAGTACTGGACAGCTGTTTCATTCTAGTTTGGGACTCTTTGGCAGTACGCACCCACCGGGATTCGAACTCAGGTTTACAAGGCGAGCTCGTATACCATTGTAACGACAGAAGGCAAGAGTCAGGCAACAGATCATTTATTAAGGAAATCAACGCATATTTATATATTATCATGTACATTACTATGGATATTTAAGCAAACAAACACAGTCTTCCGATTGGTTGTTTCTCACGTAAAGTTAATCTTTCATCTCTTTGTGACTGCTTCTTGAATGTCAAATCCTCTATATGTTAACTGCATCCGCCTACGCAAAGTCTGCTGTGGTCGGTTTTGAATCAACCTTTGTTCACATTTTCTCACGACAAATCTTGGGAACGTAAATATTGACGTAAATTACTGTCTACCAATTTGGCTAGTAGACAGCTCTCACCACACCATTAAGCCACTGGGACCCGATCCAATGGCCTATGAATTCTAACTTCTGCCAATTCACGACATAACGCGACCCCTATCCAATGTCTTCGGCGAGTATTTGTCCTCACACCCGACCTGCTGCACCCTACTGGTCACGACTTCTCACTAGAACCCCAGGTAACTACCTACCTGAATAGGGCAAATCCCTAGTGAGCATCTCATTGATATTCAAGTGTTGGTTCATAGGGATTTGATTGGTTACAGGATTTTCATCATGAGCTGACATTAGTTAGAGAACCATTGGAAAACCTGGGAGGACAAATACTCGCCGAAGACATTGGCTAGGGGACGCGCTATGTCGTGAATTAGCAGAAGTTAGAATTCAAGGCCGATTGGATCGGGTCCCAGTGGCCCAGTGGTCTAAGAGCTCGCCTTGTGAATCAAAAGGTCCTGGGTTCGAATCCCGGTGGGTGCGTACTGCCAGAGTCCCAAACTAGAATGAAACAGCTGTCCAGTACTCCCAGGTTTTCCAATGGTGCTCAAACTAATGTCAGCTCATGATGAAAATCCTGTAACCAATCAAATCCCTACAAACCAACATTTAAATGTAACTTGACTTTATTAAGTGAGGGTCTTTCCAGCTTTCATTATACTTTTTGGGATGAATTTTAATTACAACTGTCTGTTCAGAATTTGACATTTAATTGAAGAACATCTACTGGATTATGTTGACTAAACAGTAGTAAAATGTGTAGAACGATAAGCTGTAAACACGTCATCTTGACTTTTTAAATGGAGCTTTACATAAGTACTAGAATGTCATAGAAGTCTCAGTTGATATTAACCTCACCTCATTTTTCGATAACATCTAAAATTTTAGCCTTGCATAACTTACTTGACATGGCAACTTTTTCTTGTTTTCACAAAAAAAGTATTGTTGGTGTAATTTTAATATTATCTGTTTTGTAGTGACAACCGAATAACTGCAGAGGGGTCTGTTTTACTGAGCAAAGGATTTTATGTGAATTCAACACTAACTTGTCTAAAAGTAAGCTGAATGACTTCCTACATTCATTTATTCCTAGCCATACAGTTAATTGTGTTTTGAATTATCGTCTCAACTCATGATTATCAAAATTCTTAAGACTAAATGTTAACAAACTGCAGCTAGTCTGTACCCTCATCTAAATGAAATCTAGATGTCTGGTCAGTATGTAGTGTGGTATAATCTAAGAAGCACCATTTTTTCATTGTCAAGGAAAATACGACCAAAAAGCAATAAATGATCAATATATATAAATGTAACTCTTATCAACGGGCCACTAAAGTAGTTGAAGCTGTGAAGAAATCTAGGTAACGTATTGGAGACAGTCGTTGTAAAAATCTTCTACTTGTTATTATTTTCATTAAGACTGATGAGTGGAAATATTCAAGGTTTTAATCAAAACTTAATCATTTATTGAAAGTGACTCAAGATAATTGATGATAGCGTTCATTATCTTTATACTATTCCTGTGGCGCTGTTTTCTCCAATGAACAAACAACAACTTAAAAAGTCCTAAATGTCTCATTAGAATGACTTATTTCACAATAGCTATGACAACCGGAGTGACATTTTTTCGGAATGGATGCAAATAAAAATTCTTTTGCTTCTTTCCCACAAGGCATGTGTTTGTAACTACTACTTATTTAAGTTCCACAAGATAAAAACCGAGAGCAGTACTGATCTTGATATTTTTTATAGATAACGGAATGTTAATCAGTCTCATTATATACAAACACGCCAACTAATGTTTCTTAGATTTTGCTTTCTAGAAATTTCATGTCATAAGTATAAACAGCTGTCTTCGCTCCGTGATAAAAATCAGATGGTTGGTCAAAAGAGATTAGCAACAAGGAATTCCGGAAACAAGAACCTATTGCTCAACATATGTGTCGGAAAGAGCGGAGATGGATTGGGCACACGCTATGTAAACCGTTGGGTAACATCGCGCACCTGGCAAGTGCTCGAATGGAATCTGAGTGGGAAGCGATGAGTTGAGCGTGGGTTCGAGGGTGAGATGGAGGGGATCGTGTGAGGATATGAGAGACTATGAACAATCTTGGGGCAAGCTAAAGAGTGATGTGGAGGACAAGGCAAAGTAACGATGTGCTATTGAAGCCCTACGTTCCACTCGGAGCCTAAGAAAATAATAATTTGTGTGCTACAGGGAATGTGGCAACTTGAACTGCTGCGTTTCTGTGTGAATATCTATATTGAAAAAACGTCAGTCGGTCACAGGTGAATAAAGAATTTAATTTATTTCAGTGAAGATTGTTACTGTTTACCTAAAAAACAGCAGAAAAAGAAAATTATTGATATTCCTATCTTTTCACTTACAAATTCAGTTCTTATTATTGTCTTCATGAAAATTTGTTTCGTCATTCTATGAACCTGTGGCGTTGAGAATTATTTCTTATATTTGCTTTCATGTAATAGGAAAAGGGAATGTTTTTGTGAGAGCGGCTAATGCAGGCTAAACAAGCTTCATTTTGTACACTTTTTAGCTGACCTTGACCTAAATTAAGACAGTTTCATATTATCGGTTATTTGTAACATAAGTACTATCCCTATGAATTTGTGGAATGTCTTCTTTTCTTTTGTTTTTTTACCTGTAATTTTAAATAAATGCATTGATATTTACAAAGTAACAAGTTTACTTCCACGCTGAATTTCTGTGATTGAAAAATAAGATTTAAACTTCCGAACCAGGGGAAAAGAACATGCTCATAATACCTAATTAAAGAACAGGACGAATATATAAGTTATTGTTGTTATTAGATAATTATTCCCTTGGGTTCCGAGTGGAACATAGGGCTTCAGCAACACATCCCCATTTACCTCTATTTTCAGCTGGGTCTCCCATTTCGTCCTCGCAAGATCCCCCCCCCCAATGTCACCCTATGACCACTCCTTCGTCGCTTCCCACTTGGATTCCACTAGGGAAATGGCTTGGCTCGTGATGTCATTTGATAGCCCCCTCAATGTATGAGCGATTCATCTCCATTTCCTCATACGTATTTGTTGATCAAAAGGTTATTGGTTGGTTTGTTCCCAGCCTGAGCTTCTTGCTACTAATTCTTTCTGGGAATTCGACCTTCAGCATGGAGCCAGCGAAGGCAGCTGTTGATAAAGGTCTGTAACTTGTTGGAAACCTTTTTTGTGACACACTAGTCAAGTTTCTGACAGATATAGAAGAACTGACTAACTTCGCATTTGTGTTGAAAATCCGAATCTTGCTGTTTAAGCTGAGTGCAGTAGATTTTCAAACTGGTTTCAGGTTGATGAAGAGATATCTTGCCTTTCCGATTCTGGCTGGCTTTGACATGTTCATCTGCTCCACCTGTAATTGAAACGATGCTTCCTTGATAAGTGAAGGAGGTAACCTCTGTTAAATCTCTCCCGTTGATGGTGAGTGGTGCTGGCTGTTGTTGCTGTGGTTTGTTGGTTATCTTCATCACCTCCGTCTTCTCTGTGTTCACTTGGAGTCCTGTTTTCGCCGCCTCTTCAGCCAGTTTATTGGTTTTCGCCTGTAGGCTTTCACGTTTATGTGATATTAGACATATATCATCCACGAGGAAATCCAGATCTTCCAGAGTCTTCTCATCAGTGGTCCAGCATATTCCTGTCTTCTCACTCCCCGCAGTTTGACACATAATCCAGTCCACCACAATTAAGAATATCATCGGTGATAAGAGACAGCCAGCTTGTCTTACTCCTGTATTCACTTCGAACGCTTGTTGAGTTCCCCGTTGTGGATCATTGTCATATAGCCAGCTGTTGAATGAGGTCGATAAAGACTTGGGAGATTGTATGCAGGCGTGTTGAAGTAGTTTCCCTTTGATTTCTTGGTCAACGCTGCCGAAGGCCCTTTCGAAGAAGTTGAAGTTGAGGTGGAGATATGACTGCCAATTTATGCTTTGTTCTGTGATGAGGTTGTGTAGAGTTGCGATTTGATTGGGATATGATTTGCCTTTCCTTAATCCAGCTTGTTCTGAGTGTGGGGCGCAGTTCTGCATTCAGTGCATCCTTTACTCCCAGCAGGATGATGAGAAAATGAGACAAAGTATTTTACTTGGGGTGGTCAAGAGCATTATGTCACGTCACTTTTTGCGGAGAGAGACGTAAGTCGCCCTTCCTTGGTAGTATTACAAGGTAGCCAGTCTTTCTTCCAGTTAGTATGAAACTTTCCTTTCTTCCAAACCTCTGGGTCTGTTTTCAGTACCTCAATGGGAATTCCGTCTTGCTTTGCTTCCTTCCCGGCTTGTCTTCAGTAGCTTGATCGCATTCCGGATTTCTGCTTTCGTTGGTGAATTGGTGTTCACTGGCAGAGTTCTGTGTGTGCTGTTGATGGTATTTCTAGGCGATTTGCAGGTGATAGTCGATTGAAGAGTCATTTAGAGTGATCAGCCTATTGTTTGATTTGTTTCTCCTCCTTGGTAATTAGGTTCCCTTGAAAATCTTTTGTAGGTATCACCTGAGTTGATCTATTGCCGGATAGAGACCTGGTTATCTCATATAATTTCCTGAGGTCTCTTTTACCTGCAGACTGCCTGTTCTGCTTCAGTTGCCGGCCAGTGTATTGCAGGATTGTCGTTTGTCCTTCCGATCACTCTTCTTCACCTCTTTCTCGATTCAGTGCAGTATACGTTGAACTCAGCTTCTCCTTCTGTTGCCATCTTTGCATTGAGTTATCTTTTTCACCATCCTCCTCTCTTCTATCAGCTTCCAGGTTATGGGTTGATAACCATTCCTCGTCTTGTTTCTTCTTAGAAAAGTTGTGCACGTTTCCTAGAATATCTTCTTCAGTGAGTCCCAATGTCCTTCCACAAAGGTTTCCCCAGTGATAACATGTTGTGTCTACGACTTGACTCTAATTTGAGCTGTAGTGAATGTGTTCCTTGTAGTTTTGTCCTTCAATTTCAGAATGTTTAAATTGAATTGTGGTCTGTCTCCAGTTTTCTGAAGTATTTCAGTTTTACCTTGAAGGTTCCCAGAACTAGATGATGGTCTGAGCCAACATCTAATCCTCTTTGAAATTTTGTGTCCAGTAGACGGGCTGCTTCTTCGCTTTCTTGAGCAACATTGAGATGAAATCTATTTGGTTTATGGTGTGACCGTCAGGCGAAATCCATGTTGCTTTGTGTATGTCCTTGTGATGTACACACTGGCTGCCTCCGACTACCAAATTATTGAAAGCGCAGAAGACTGAGAAGAGATATACGTTCTCATTCACTTTCCCGAGAGTCTCTAGGCCCATTATGAATTCTCTTTCTGTATTATCTGTTCCCAGTTTCGCATTAATATCTGCCGTAGGGATTTTGATGTAACTATTCAGGATGTTGTCCATTGCTCTTTGTAGCTGTTGGTAGAATTTTTCCTTCATTGTTTGTAGCACTCTGCTTTGCATTGGATAATTGCTACCTTCAGTCCTTTTCAGTTGAATCTCGCTGTCATCATCCTGCATGACGAGATTGGTTCCCACTGCATTAGGGCTTGGGCTGCCACTGGTGACACCGTGATAGCCACTCACTGATTCAGTGTGTCTGTGGTTGTCTTTGGGTGATGATACAGGAGTAGATTACTGACTGACCAGTTGACAATTTTGACAGTTTTCAAGTATTGGTTTTGTAGGGATTTTGTTTGATTGCATGGGGGATTTCATCATGAGCTGACATCAGTTAGCGAACCACTGGAAAGCTGGGAGTACTGGACAGCTGTTTTGTCCTAGTTTGGGACTCTTCATCAGTACGCATCCACCGGGTTTCGAACCCAGGACCTTCTAGTTACAAGGCGAGCTCTTAGACCACTGAGCCACTGGGACCCGATCCAATCGGCCTTGAATTCTAACTTCTGCCAATTCACGACATGGCGTGACCATTGTAACAGTTCACATCTATTCGATCTGCTCTCTCAGATTCCGAGCACTTCTACGCCATATTTATTTTGATTACAGCTTGATTCCACACCGCATTTTCAGTACAAGTATGGAATTTTCAGCATGGATATCGGTAGGCCAAATTTACAGGCCGACCATAGATATCGGGTGTGCGCCGGCAGGGGATCGAACCCCGGACCATGTGCATGGTCGGCGAGAGTCCTAACCACTGTGCCACCGACGCACATCTCATTTCTTTGGCTACCTGAGCAGCCTTCCTAGGTGGCCTCGTACAATGTACGCGAATTCCACTTCCTCACTCTTATTGTTGCTTTCATCGAGAGAAGACAATTTGGCTGACTGGTTTCCCGAAGTCTTTCAACATCTCACATTATTTCCTCTCTCCCATTTCGTAGAAGTTTTTTCTAAATATGTCTTGTATTTTTCAATGTATTTCTTGTGCGTTGAAGTTATTTTAGCAGTTTAAGTGTTTTTGTGGTGTAGGGTAGCTAGTCCGACGCCCACACTCCCTCTTTACCCTGGCTTGGCACAGATCAGAAAACTGGTGAGCTAGCTAACTAGGCGTGGTTTAATATATGACTAGTGTCTTAATAATTTCAGTTTTTGTTTCTTATATCACTGGTTCGCAAATTCTCGCTAATTTGAAAGTCTCCAAATAGATCATGTCCTTATAGACATCAATAATGAAGTTTCGAATAATACTCCGAAATAAATCACTCAATATTGAGTAGTAAATGAAATTTATGTCACTTTATCATACTTTTCTGAGTTCGTGGATTCGTAAACTACTTTGATTCTTTGGTCACATTAACAGTTTGCAAATTAAACAGTTGGAGGTGATCAATTCTGTTGATCCTGCAAATGAGTGATGTCCAACTAATTATATCAGTCAGCAGTATACACCATCATGCAGTCTTTCTGCTTTTTTATTGGAACTCTGAGTTTACCGTTGATTAATTTTACTAAATTAAAATTGTTAGTCTCTGTTAGCGTATGAGCGTTTCGATGATACTCTGAAGTTACCCTGCTGTTATTTGGTTGGTGTTGACTAGCAGTGGAGTATGGTAGATCCTGAAATCGATTTTTAGTGGTAGAACTATGAACTGTTAGTACATTCAGGTCACGTAATCTCAGTAAGATGAAACAAGTTTCCTGAATTTAATAACCAGTCCCCTTCAACTGAACAACACTACGTACTTTACATAGGGAAGGAAACCGTGATAGAATAAATCATCACAGTATATGAGGTTTAATTCGCAACACCATTCATTAACACAGAATGAGGAGCACAAGAGAAAATGAAAGGTTTGTACACAGAAAGGAAAATTAAGTCAGTGAGGGATTGATTTAAGGTAACACAGAATCTAAGAATTTCGAAAATGAGAGAAGAGGTGTACTTGCTTCATCATAATCTACTTTTGTTCACATCAATCAGAATAATCAGACAGTGACATTTATCACCTCTTTAGTTTCATTCAGGTGCCTTATGAGTCCTTAGATTACTGAGATTCGTAGTCAGTGATTTTATTAGTTGTCACCTCTGTGGATTTTTTGGCTTTGCAAAGTCTGATTGTTTTTCAGACATCATCTAAAATATTAGCCAATTTCTGACTAACCTGTTGGGAAGGAGGGTGATTTGGATTGCGTATATAGGGACGCAGAAATATTATTCCTTGTCTTTAAGTCTCATACCAATATTTTTTTTAAATATTTATGGTAATATATTTACAGTGACCCTAAAACTCCATTTCACACTTGAGTTTATTTTGACTTATGTTGTCTCAAACATAGAAATTTTCTCAAGTTACATCAGTCAATCTTTAATAGTCAGGAATTCCTACTCAGAATCTTTATAGTTTATATATTCATTTCAAATCTTTTCTAGATGGCACGTAATCCAATGCAAACTGCTGGTTGTTTTGCTATTTTAACAGGAATCTTGAGGAATCCAAACTGTGGCCTATTAGAACTTGATTTACAGGTAAATGTCCCTTCCTTTCTCCTGAAATAACTGTATCGTTAACTTTATGTTAGTCTTGAGATATTGTGTTTTTTTAACACAAATCCTGATGTTTACACTTTGTCTTCAAGGTAGTTTTCGTTTGACCACGGTACATAGTGATATATAAGACTTCAAATATCAGTTAAAGAATAAAATTTTTGTAACATTGTTTAATTCAAAGTGCAATCTGTGCTTGAATCTTTTGTTCATGGAAAATTTTCATTAAGACATAGAAGATTAAAACAAGTTATTCAGAGAAGACACTGTTTTCAACGTATTTATTACTGAGCTGCATAGCCATATATATATATATATATATATATATATATATATATATTGATTCTTTTAAAATATTGATTTGAATTGTGACCAAATATTGGTGGTTATAACCACAGTTAAAGATCAAGTGAAAAAATAGTCCAGGCATTTAATAAAATGTTTCATTGAAAGTATAAATCTTAGAACCGATATGTAGAATTAGTCGGATTAGTAGGCAATTAAAACATTATGCACCAAAGTGTAGAATTATGATAAGACAACAATGAATTAAATAAATAAAGGTGACAAGTGAGGTAATACTGGAAATTATTCAAAGTGAAAATAATAATAAAAATAGAAATAATAACTGATGGATATAAAGATTGAATAAACAAAACAAAAAATAAATAGAACCAAGGAAGAAATGGAGATTTTAAAATAAATTCATCCATTTAAGAACACGTAAGTCAGCAAAGAGATCAGTTTTCAGAACTTCACTTCAAAGCTACACAGCTTTTTATGAGTTTATAAACACAGTGTTAATTTAGAATACATAGATTGTGTTCGCTTGTCAGTCACGACAGTGACGTACTCACTAGTCGTTTTTTTTCCTTCACGTTCCCCAGTGGAACATGGGCTTCAAGCTAGTAGCTTGAAGTTTCTGTAGCAGTGTTTATTTTACAGGATGGGGTTGCTTTTTGACGTTCATTAATGGATAAGTCTTATAAAACGGTGGATCTTTGTGAAATATTCCTCTCTAATTTAGGGATACTTGACAACAAAGGTCAGATGTTATTCCCAATTAACTAATAAAATAAGTTAGAGTTCATAAGAGATGACATTGTTTGAAAAATAGCGAATAATCTTATGTAGTCGGGAAATTTGACAATTAATTAGTTAAGTGATGAAAAATCAGTTGGAAATAATTGACAGGATAAAAGGAAACAAAGAACTGAAATACAAAAAGCTAAGACCAAAATATTACTACACAGTTTATTATGTAACAAATCAGGAAAATAAAATTGACACTAAGGCTATGATAGTAAAATAGGTTGGATAAAAAGTTTCTGAACACAAAGTTCAGGTTTTTCCTAATGGATTGTTACAGCTCCGGGTGGGTGAAATCCTTTTGAACGACTTGATCTTACCTTATATATGTCTCTGAATGAAGTGTGTTCTGACTCTGCGTGACAAGAAGCAATGATGTTCTCCAGATTAAAGCTATTAACTGTTGTCTGCTCTCAATAACCATGCTAGTAGGTGTTTATGAGAGCATCTAGACAATGTCTTGCTCGTAAATCCTATGTACTTAATTCTATATGTGAAATTGAATTGGTATATACATATAAAAATAGTCGACAGAGTAATCTTGTCTTTGACATTTTAGTGATGAAGGGTATGTGTGGAAAAGGTAAGGCGTAGAGATGCTGCAAAGAACGTCCTTCAGATTTCTTTCCACAAACGACTTCACAGAACGTCATTAACTGTATCTTCCGTGAAATCCAGATTTGCAATTGTTTGTTTCTTCTGCACATGCAGGTTTCACCGAGCATCGATCTCTCTCTTTCTCTTTCAAATGTTAATTGATGAAGGAGGTTGGCTATGCATTGTTGACTGCAGAATTCCAATTTGTATTTTGCCACTATTGTATGATGTGTAGTCATTGAATCATCCCAGATAAACATATTTAACATATATATTTTATGGAAATCTTTCATCATCAATTAACATTAAATTAATATGTCAAAGAAGTCAATTTTATTCAAAAGAAAAATTATGTTGCTTCAGGAAAAACTAGATAGAAAAATAAATCACAACTTCAATCTTTTATGTTCAAAGCTTTCTTTATTTTTCATGAATTTAGTTGAGGTGTATTCATTTTTCGAATCTCCATTATATAACCTCTTATATAAAGATGAACCATGTTTGATGGGTATGTGAAGTAGAAAATATATATTACATAGTTGAACTGTATTGTTGCCAAAAGAAATGATAATGCAACTGACATCACACAAGCTTTAAAACCCAAGATGAACTATTTAGAAGTATATCTTGTTTTAAAAAAAATTAAAAGAGGATATCAGACAGTAGCTTTGATATAACCTAGCAGTTTAGAACGTTTATGGGTCCCGATATAACTTGACAGAAGTAGGTTGATTGAAAACCTTCAGCTGAAGGTTAAAGCAAACCAACATATCCTAAATCTCACCGTCAGAAGCTGGCAAAGTCTAACTAACATTTTGTTTACATATTGCCACTGTATCTGCACAGTGATCACACACTATATATTTCTAAAAGCTTCCATGTCCTATTACTTATAATTGGATTTATACAACTGGATTTTGAGCTTAACAGCAATAACCATTTGACACTACACTAATGAGTAATTATGTCCATCTGCTCCATTTAATTTTATCGACAGGACATTATAGTGAATCAAGACTTCCTTGATTTACAAGATTCAGCGCGTATAAAACTTCCTAATTTATGCGTAAGATATGGTCAAACATCGAATGATAAAATTAGAGCTTTATCACCACGATTCAAAAGACCAGAACAAAGTCCAAAAGAAATTTTAATCACTATGGGACGCTGTACAAAGCAAAGTCTTGCAGATTTATTACGTCCTCTAGATACTGTTGGAGATAAAATTGTTACTCGTCAGGCATTTGTCAAAATTTTAAATGTAAGTTCAGTTTACGTCGCATAAGATTTAACGTGTTTACACTGTAGTTTATGTTCAAAGTAAACATCGAGTTAATAATTGTTTAAACTCAAGAAGAAGTGAACAACCAACACACCACGTTTTCTGAATTATTTAACCGTTACATGTTATTCATCTTTTCAAAATTCACATTAATGGGGAAGTCATCCACTAACATTGTCTTGAAATCAGTCGAAAGCAGATAAAAGATTGCAGCATAAAATCTAAATTCTAATAAACATTTGACAGTAAGGAGTTCAGTTACCTATCAGAGTGCGGATTTACTGCTTGTTGGTTTCAAACGTACACTACATCTGTGAAACATCGCGGTTGAAATCAGAATCAAGTAGAATTTAAAATTTTCGACTATAAGTATCTTCTTAACAATAATTTGTATCGAAGCCGATAAGTCAGAGATATTGAATTTAAATGCATTATTAGGTTAGAAAGTACGTCGGTGGCACAGAGGTAGAATGCTCGCTTGGATCGGGGTTCGAGCCCCGGCCGACGCACTCCTTTACCTCGCTAAGCCAGTAATAAGACTGGCAAAGAAGGAAGGTTGGGCGTCAGGCTAGCAACCCCATCCTGTAAAAACAAACACCACTGCTACCGAAACTTCAAGCCTCTAGCTTGAAGCCCTTTGTCTCACTGGGAACGTAAAGGAATAAAAAAATTAGGTTAGAGAGACAAGTAGGTGGATGGGATTGTAAGCTTTTACAAACTGAGATGTTGAGGATACATATTTCTCATGATGAAGCATCATCTTCTTTGGTGAGCAATGTTCGGAATATGCAAACTGATTAGCGAGGATCTTCAGAATGTAAGGAATCATTCTTTAAAGACTATAATAATCTACCTTGTATTACTCAATTGGTGAGAATGTTTTCACTCTTCATGATTTTTGAGCACTCAAACTAACCTTGATTTAAGTATGCTCTATTTTTGAACATTCATATCTTTCATTTTAATACCATTCTGTAACTTCACATTTCCTTGTCTCGAGCTGATTCACAAAAGTGGCTGAGCACTTTGACGACTTTGAAATAATAGAGATTTATAAAAATCAAAATCAATTCCAAACAATTTGAATCATGATTGTTATAACCCCAGATGTAAGCATATGAAATTTAAGTGCACCATTTACTCAGGTTATTTCGTTTACCGATTTATTAAGGAACCAGTATTAATTATCTTCATATAATGATAACATTAAATCACCAATAACATAATTATTTTCAAGCAGTTTTTAAGCTCTTTTGAAGATATTACCTAACTTTAAAATGCAAAATCTGATTTTATTTTCCTTTTTGATTATTACAGATGTATATGACGGTGAGTTATAAGAAGTTTTTCTGATATTCGTAATATTTACTGAAGCATTTCACTGTTCATTACTTAGTCTTATTTTCGCCTCGATATGTTAGTATTACGTACAGCAAATTTGATTGGTGTGTGGTTATACCAGGGTGTATGTTATTTCATTATACATATAGAAACTATGTACGTTTAAAATAAATGTAAACTAAGTAACGGAACATTTTAATGTTACTCAATATGAGTATAACAGAGACTAAAGGTAAATACACCTCTTGTACAACTTATCAAGTCGTATAATTCAGTAGAATATAAAAAATCATTGACCTGGAGCAAACTTTAATACTCTACCAACATTACTGAACGCGAAGGATGGTGAATTACGAAGAACAATAGTTATTAAGAGTTTCTCTAGGATGGATGTAATTCAGGTTATAAGGAAACTTGATTTACAATAGCACTCAATTCAGATATATTTTAAAATGTTATCATATCTTATGCATTAAGTCTGATAGAAGTTACTTCCGTTTATTTTAAATTGTTGTAAACATTGCAACATCAGTTTTCAATGGATATCTCCTATAAAACATAGTACCAACGTGTCGGCAAAACACACCAGTCGTTGTTAACGGAATAGCTATTCGCAATTTGATGTACACATAGGCAATTATGTATAACATATTGAAATCGTCATTTGCACAGATCTTCCATGTTGTGTTACTCCTGTCCTTCGTGTTGTGTTCCCTTCTCTTTTTTTCGTGTCTCCCATGTTTTGTGGCAATATTGGTTCATTTCCGCTGTTTGACGTCAAATCTATCTCTCCGCTATTTGATATTTTGTGTCGATGACAGTTTCTTCATATGCTACTGATAAATCTTGCCGGTAGCACCCTTCACACCAATGCTCAACACTATCTACGCATTATTTCGTTTTCTTTAATAACCTCATAATATATTAGCAGCATTCTTCAATTCAAACAAATAAATATGGTAATAAAAGATATCTTCATGTTATAAGCATTTTAAAAATAAAAATTCTACTCTTGTAAGAAAAATAGATAACTCATTGTAAGAAACCTGTTGAACAGTGTGTATTTCACTGTAGGCCTGAATTAACTCAGTATCTTCTATTGCATAGAAGGTATACTTTCTGTGTAATAGACAAAACTGCGAAATCCTTACACAAGTTACGCAAAAAGTATCTATAGATAACAAATAAGGGCACAAACTCAATACATTTCAAGAGTATTCATCGTGCTAATCAATAGATAGTAAACTTCTTCATATGACGCTTTCTAAACCTATCTGAAATTACGATTGGCGGAAAGAAAATATGACTCAATAGAAGAAAGAGGAAGACGTTTCGATATCTAACTTGTCAACATAATGAATAAAATAATATTTGTATTTTATCAATATAATTTTTTAAACGTAAAACACTAACACATTACTACTTTAAAAACACTTCTATTCTCTTCAAAATACATTTACCTATAGAAACTTGGAATACAATTTACTGAGGAACAAATGAAGCAATTAATGCTAGAACTAGATCCAAATAACCAGCAAGAGATTGGTTTCGCGTAAGTAAATTATTGTTTGAAGTGTGGTGAGAATTTGAAGAGTGAAAACGTAAACTTCAGTTGTTTGTACATAAGAAAATGATGTGTAGCATTGTATTGTGTGCTATACAGTGAATCTGTAAGCACTTAGTTCTATACTTCATAGAATATAAAGGAAGATTCTGTACAATCGGCGCTGAGTTGTCTCGGACCTCATCAGAGTTGCGATGGTAACAAAATGCAATTATCCGTGTCATTTTAGCTAGGAACTAAGCCGGCTAAAGTTGAGTCGTATAGGAAGTTGTAGGACATTCTTCATAATATATTTTTAATACACCAGCCCTGCTTGGTCGGTCGCATGCAAAATTCACCACCGAATATCCAATGACTATTAGACCAAAATACGTTTGACGACTTTAAGGTTGATATCATGACACATCTTGAGCCTGAGAGGTAGTGAGACTTCTCTACGCCGATTATCCGCTTACATTTTGAACAACAAAGTAAGTTGCTTAACTTGAGTCTAGTAAACTTTGTAGAATACATCTCTTCGGGTTAAATCGTAGAATAAAAAGGACTAAGGCCGTTGAGTAACTCCGTACACCCTTATGTAGTGCGCTATCAAATAGAATGAATCACATACTACCAAACAAAAGTAAATTAGACCCTTTTCATAACATTTACCCCAACGCTTTATGTCGATTACCTTCAGGAGAAGTACTTGACACTGAATATGCTGTCACTGTAACGAACGAACCAGTTAAATTTATGCAATTCAGTAAGTAAAGCTCTAGATAATTTCTGAATTATACAAACTAGCGACCGCGCAACAGTTCATTCCGTAACTAATTAAAGAAATTTGTCGAAAGATAATAGCGTGAAGTGATGTAAATTGATAGGAAGCGACCGAAACTGCAATCAACATTCTAAGTCAGTGGCTGCAGAGGTAAAGTGTTTATCCCTTAAATCTGGATTTAGTTTACTTTGTGGACATGAAATAACACTATTGGGCAACTTGTTTAACATTGGGCCAGTCGCCAACCAATCCGAACGATTTATAGTCCTCTGACATAGCCGAACTTTAATGTGGCTAAGACTGTATAAATATGACGTGTTTTCCCATGGCAAAGGTCCTCTTATGTTCACACATTACAATAAAACTACTTGAATGTCCAAACGTTTACAGCAACAGTAAAATTTCTTATCACGAAATACTGCTCACAAAGAAACTAACCTAAGCGAGACAGCAATCTTCTTATTATCATGTTAAGAAAGGAACTGAATATACCTTTGAAAGTAGATACTATTCAGTTAGTTATAATTACTTAATTACAAGACGCACAACTGTGATGATTAGTAAGTTATATTTAGTAGAAGTACTTGCAATAACATTTGAATATGTTATTTTCCTGATTTTAGAGATTTCGAAATATGAAAATATTTTTGTGGAATTCTGAATAAATTTTTATTTCCATAAATTTTCTCAATTTGCAAATACGAATGGGACACTGGAGTGTTGGTTTAGTTTTATTATTTTTTTAAAAATGAATTTCCCTGATTTGAGAAAATAAAAACGAAGCTTGTTAAAAATAAAATTTTTTATTAATCGACTGCTATACTGTATTATTAACAATAACCAAAAGAAAAAAATTATATTTTACTAAACTTCTCAGTAGGTATTTACCTAGGATACGCTAGAATACATAAATTACATATTTATACTGAAATGTATCAGTAGTGCAACGAAACTTGAGTTGGTACATTAAATGTGTATGCGTATGTCGATAAAAACAGAAAGGTAGATAGCTAGGTAGGTAGTTGATTTGAATTGAGAGTTCACTGTACATTCTTCATTAATTTTACAGTAGTTATAATATTATGTGTATCAGGATAGGAAGCACGCTCTAGATTTTGAGCATAGGGCATTGGAACATCAGCCCCTGTAACGCGTAAGACGGGAGCATCCAGATAATTGAAAGTATCCGCTGTAAAAATAAAATATGCACATATATATACCCTTTCCAAGTAGTATCAGTGACACTTAAAAAATAGGTGAGGCTCAGTGCCAGCTGCATGGACAATAGTGACCTTTAAGTAAGACACTCCCCATCGTGTAAAATTTGTATGTAAGGGTTAATGACCAATACGAAGAATATTTTTTAATTTTCATTGAATGTTCACGAAAATACAACTTTTGCAGAGTTTATATAGAAAATTCCCCATTAAATACACCTATTAACATACATATTCGTAAGGTTAATATGCATCACAATGAAAAATGAACATAAGCCATTCCATGATTATACAGGTTAAGTACGTGATCAAATGCCAGTAACCTCTAGTTTGCTAATGATGCAGACGTAAACCAGTCAGCGACCACTACGTTCAAGCATGATTTCGATTCCACATCAAGTCTCCGTTGATCTAAAGTAACAGTCAGTTTACAGTTAAAGCGATAGACCATGGTTATAGAGGTGCATCAATGACTATCTATTCGAAGGAAACACCATCTCTAGAGTTCGATAATTACATTAACATAGTTCAACATGCTGAATGTATTATTGATACTCATGAGGAAAAATATAACTGAAGATAATCAAATTGTTACATTTAAATAATTGATGAGATTTAAAAAGAAACTTCCGTGATGAACTTACTTTCCATAACTCGAGCGCATATTTCAGCTCCAATACCACATGTAGGCCAGCCATTTTCTACAGTGACCAGATAATGAGTTTTCTTAACAGAGTTAAATATTGCTTCCTCATCCATGGGACGTAAAGAACGCATATTAATTACCTAAAAGTGAAGATAGTTAATAAAGCCTGTTATTACCATTGATGTTATTGTATAACTACCGTTAAAAAGCTTGAAACACCTGACTTTTAATTTTTAGTAACACCGTTTTCAGACAACCTATCTTTTTTGTGCGTTTCGCAAGGATTAGCTTGTCTACAGAAGTAAAGTGAAATAGCCGTTTCTCAATAGAGCGCAACACTACTTTATGAAGGTAGTTTAGCCGTAGTAAAATTCATCAAGAAGGTGAGCATGTCAACATAATTAAAAAATAAAATTTAATTTCCAATAAATCAAACAAACATCACATCTGTTACAGAGCAAATGAAATGTCTAGAGTGGTGGATGGATAGGTTTGTGAAGGAAATAGCATATCATCCATAGGCAGTAGAATACTTTGTGTAGAACTGATAAATTGACTTATTTACCACTGTAATAACATCATTTGAAAGGTACGAAAACTACATTTAAAACAAAAACTTAGGTCTCGTAGTAAACGAAAGGTTGAAATACCCACAAAACCCTTTCATAAAGTGAATCATACTGAATTCATAACACCTATATCCGTACAGAAGGGAACCCTCAGAACGTTGTGCACTGGGCTATGGGTTTTGCTTAATATGTGATAATATTAAGTTACCCGGGAAGAAGTAGGTGTTCAATGCTAGAACCCATCAGTCAGAAGTTGACCAGTTAAGCTTATACATCCCACCACTCCACGGTCGTAATTAATTCTTCATGGCTGTAACAGAAATCCTGGATCCAATACTAACAGCTAAGGTAACAATGTTTACACAAGCGCACTAGACATTACGGAAAAGAAATGTGGCCTTGTAACCATTCACAATTTACTGCATCAGGCTAAAAAATGCACCTCTTGAGTGGATGGGTGGAGTAGGGCCCCGACCGACAGATTTATAAGACTTGGTGCTCTATCCAGACTTTACAGAATTCAATAGTGAACTCAGTGTTAACATCATCACTACATAACATGAAGGTTCAGAATTCAGTGCTTAAGAGTACGAAAATAAGGTGAAACATCAGTATCACTACGCCGTGACTTTTAATCTTACTCTGAGTGATGCCGGCTCGTGATGAAAACTACCCTGAAATAATGAATCAGTCAAACTGACAACAAATTCATCTACTTCTGCAATATTACTTATTATCTTCAATAAAGGCTACTTCACCTTTTTTCAGATAATCAACAATCTCTGACTTCGTTTGGATATTTTAACACTACTAGATATATGGAAAATAATATTACTAAAAATAATCAGAGAATAATAAATAATGACCTTTCAGAATCGGTAATAAGGAGGTCAATGAATTGACAAAAGCTCTTGTAACACAGGCTGTTGTTGAAAAATGATTAATCACGCTTTGGAATTACCTCAGCACTAATACCAAGTTTTGCCAGTTCTTCTGCGGCAGCCAAGCATGTACCCACGCCTAGACTGTAACTAACAAGAGTAACGTCTTTGCCTAAAATCAAAATGTGATAGAAAAAAATCATTTTGGTTTAGAGGATTTGCTTGATCTTAAGATTTTGGACAAAATTTACCTAGAAAACCTGTATTTAATTACAAAAGAATAAAGTGTATTTGAAATAAAAATCAATGGGATGCAGGTTTACAACCAACTGCTATTTGCAATGAGTCATGTCTACTCCTATAACGACATGGTAGGATAAGATCCAAACCCTTAGAGGTGTGCTTGAAAGCCAAGTAAATAAAACGACCCTAGACTCATTGAAATTTTGAAATTACAAAAGCCAATATCATCCTATATTTGTGCTGTACTTAAAAGGTTTAATACATTTAAATTCACACTAAAAACAAAGTTACCCCGCTGACCAAACAAAGATGAAAATGCCACCTTAGTAAAACAATGATCATGAGAAGAAAAATAGCCGTATTTAGTCTGGAAAAATAGAAAGGCGAATTTCCATCAAAAGTAAAACTATTATAGACTGTAAGACTATTCATCGCTTTAAAATTTCTTATTCATTACCAAGATAAGGAAACTTGAATAAAACAGGAAGAACGCACAAAAATAAAAAACAGGATGCAAATGGAACGAGACGATTAGGCAATAATATGATGAAATACAAAACTTTATTTGTAGCGATAATTCTTACATTGAAGTCGAAAACAACTCCACTGTAGAAATTTTTACTCAGTCAATATATTTTCAAACTGCACCTTGGTATATGTTATTTGATAAACTACAGTTAGTGAAACACATCAGCAAAAACTTTTGTGACTAGAATTAAGTTAAGATTTGGTGAAAATTCGAGTCATGACTCAAACAGCAGAGTGCCAGGTTAATAACTTTAAGACGGCTATCAAAGTTTTTATTATAACTTTAATTATCCTTTTGCCAGTTTACATTAGTATTGATAAATGGAGAGGTAAAAGTTGAAATATGACAAAAGGAGCTAGAAAAGATATTGAATCATTTATAAGACAGTACTGAAAGCAAATAAAATATTGTTACAACAGAGTAAGAAGGGTATGATAAAATTTTCTTCTCTGAAAAAAGTCAAATAATATCGGCAACTAATGATGATAAATGCTGGAATTATATGATAAACTATTTATAGTATATTCAAAATCTTTGATGATACAATAAATGGTTTATTGATCTTGGTAGTTTAGCAATGATAAGTAATAAAAACTAATACTTTAACGATTACTTTAAAATAAGTGGACCAGATTAAATCACTACGAAACACTTCTAACAACAATAATAACTACACGGTGAAGTTATTTTAATTTAAGCCAGGTGAAACACGTGTTTTAGAGTTGATGAAACATCGAGGTTAACAAAAAAAACTCGGAATTTTATATCATACAGTTATGGCTTAAATAATGACCTTCTGTAGGCTAATTTCTTACACCTTATGGTTACGTGAAAGTAACAGTGCTATTTTTAACTCATGCACATGATGGGAAATCACTAAACTACATCAATACAATTTATACATTGTGCGTATATACATATATATAATATCTGAAACAAAACTGGCCGAAAACCGGAGCTCAGTGTGTTCACATTGACGAATACAGTGACCCAAATCATAACTTCTAAGTTATTTTCATTTAGTTCAAATTTATAAGTTTTGTTTTTAAGGAATATAGCTTTAAGTTCACTTATTATCCTTCATATGTACAACAAATTGGAAACATTGCATTACCAAGCCTTTATTATTGATGAAATCTATCAACTCACTCAATTCGAAACCCCCAAAAATCTAGTCTCTCAATTTGGAAATACTTTTCATTTCATCGACCGAAAGACTTAGATCGAATGTTTACATTCACTAATCTTTCCACTCTACTGCTAAACTGTAGTAAATACATGATGAAATCCTTATTCCATAAAAACAGAGAGAGACTTTGAACGCTAGCAGATATTTGGATTATATCGCTGAAGTTTCCAATAAAGTCTATACTTGTAGGGATGAAAATTGAAATCAATCGAGTGAAAGCTCTATTGAGCTTGCACCAGTCAAGGCACTATACGTCCCTTGGGTTATAGAGTTCATTGGTTTTAGTTTCTTGAGTCAGAAATCAGAGACACTTTGTAATTTTATCAGTAGCTTCTAGTGTGTACCCCATGTGATCCTTTATCCAAAGATTCCGAATCACCATCTACTCAACTGAAACATCTTCAACATGCCAAATCGCCTCCTGCTCAAAAAGCTAATGGGGAATTGAAAACCAGGTCGAAAATTGATACGGGCGGTTAGACAAATGCACAGTACGAATTCATGACATCTTTGACTGTTAGTATAAGTCAGTCAGAGGTGTATGTCATCCGGTTATAGTTTTTTGAATGTTAGCAGTCGATGGCTATATGCTCTTGGTGATATGGTTTAAAACTGTTTGTGTGTTAACTATTTATCATCAGTGTTGAATGGTTAGAGATTTGAACTTATAACACCCGGTTCTGATATCAAAGAGGTCACAACTGAGTTTTTCTCAGATTGCACGCAATATACTTTTTTGGCGTAAATAGTTTAGCAAATCGACATGACTAAAAACCTCATAAATAACAACTAATGTGCATTTTCTTTATTATCTTCAAAATAAATAGTGCTACACAAAATATAGTGGACTTCTATTTCAACCAATGACATACAATAAGTGAGAAAATAATGAAGCTCCCTCCAGAACGAATAGATTGTAAGCCTATTGATGGGACTTTAGATAGGGACAAATAATTAATAAACATGACCGCACCTAATATAGAGGTAAACACATAAAACGAAAGATTAAATTGATAAAATTACCTTCTCGTTCGATTTTAGCCTGACCAATAGGAATTAAATAATCTGGAGACAGCGCTTCATCTGACACATCAAATGAGTGTCCATATAACAACTCGCTCTCCAAATAAACGACTATAATAAAGAAGAAACGTGTTTAATAAATATTACATTGAAGTTACAGCAATTTATCTAAAGAGGAACTGAAACAGGCACAATCTTCCCCTTAGGTTGGTATCAAATATGAAAACTTCGTATTCGAACATGTATGACTGACAAAGTTATTACTATATATTATTTCAGAGATCAAAACAACTATGTAACTCATTAAATAACACACTGATTGATTATATACATCACTAGAATTTATAAAAGTATACTACTCTAATGAATACAAATCTTAATTGCAACAACAGTAGAGCTGAGTAACAAAATGAAGATGATAATGCATCATTGTTCACACAACTTAACTATTTAATTGTGTCGATACCAAGCTACCACAGTGGTTAAATTATTCAGAACTACATCGCCTAAATGGTTTACCTGAAAATAGATGGACGGAAATCCTCTCTTACTAATTAACGGTATAAACTGCTACACTTCACATTGGAATATTAAGTTTGAAGGAGACAAAATGCAATAAATTGAGACGAAAGATATTGTACTGGTTGTGTAAGGACATGAATTAATATGAGAGAATCCAGCAAAATAAATATTTCAAAATTCAGATGAAAGTAAAGATATGAATACATTTGCGCTAAAGATATTTCCTTCGAGTGATATCACCTGCAGTTCAAAACTATCCACTTCTATCTTATCGTGAATTGTACACGGCTCAAACTTATGATACTCGTAACATGCACTGATTTATTCATCTTCTTGTGTCTCACAACATAAGCTTTTTAAATTAATCTTGCCAGTGTCATGATTGATGCAAACTGACAAAAGCCAACCTGATATTTCGCACATCCAATGGGATTTTGTTGCCTATCAACGCAAAAGTTCCAATCCAGCTTCCCAAGTAAGTAGAGTATTAAATGCATTCAAACATGCTATCGATGTAGACCTAGTGTCCATTTAACTAATAAGCACATATCTAAAGTATTATTCAGACTGCCAAAAAGACTGCACATCTCTACTTTATATCATCCCATGCCCAAAGTTAACAGATACCGCTTGACAAAAATTCTTGGTGAAACAGGTCTCGGAAATTTTTCGAGAGATGATGGAAGTTAGAGTGTGCTACTTTCGGCAGGTGAAGATCTTTAGGCTACGATATATCTTACAGTGTTAAGGTTCACGAAGCCAAAGTGCACTACTTTAAGAGCGGCCTTCCGTAATTCCTTCATCACACAGTGGAAAAGTAGCATTGTTATAGATTCTACCGTAAACATGACTTGTGTTCAGTGCGTGTCTATATATATATATATATATATATATATATATATATATACTTACTTCTACAGAAGAAACATTAGTTGAGAAATACAACTGCTGACCTACGAAGTTTGGCGCATTTAGAGTACGTTATTTTCAACAACTAACTACCTTGATAAAATGCTAGGCATATTAAAATTAGATCAGAAGAAAATCGCATCTAAGTAAATTAACATGTTAGTAATTCACGAAGTCATTGATTGATGGATCTCTCTATGATTGATTTATTCGAGAAATTAGCGGCTAGAAAAGCACGCATAGTGGCTTGGAACCAATGACTGTAAGGTAGGATGTTAAAATATTTTTGTAACAAATGTCCTTGTTCCTTACTTGTTGTTTCGAAGCGCAACGATTAAGACTACTTACCTTAACCACGGGAATTATAAAATTTTGTCTACCCGCTTATCTACTGCATTTAGACTTTTGGATATTTCAACCACTTGTTGGAAACTCTTAGGGTTTCGACTCACCAGGATCTGGATCGCGTACAGCAGTCTTTAAAAGGCCTCGAGCATCTTCGCAGCTATAAGGCGCCAAAACCTTCAGGCCTGGGCAACTAGCATACCAAGCGCCAAAATCTTGGCTGTGCTGAGCAGCGACTCCAGCGGAACAACCATTTGGTCCTCTGAAGACGACTGGGACAGAAACCTGAGAAGAAAGTGAGAAACGACATCACAACCGCAACAGAAGCAAAATTCGTGGAATTTGAATGAAATTATTGACTGAATCAATTAATCCGAGGTTATAAAGACAGAAACTCAGTGACAGCTGCAACCTTGATACAGTGAAAGTACTTACCTAGTTATAAGCGTGTTTAAACATCTCTGCAGTTCGCTGGTTTGACCACTCAATTTTTAACTAGCGGTCATAGAGACCTGGCTCAATGTATTATCCGCCGGACTTTCAGTCAGTGGGTACAGCGTTCGAATCCTCTTCCACCCAATTCAGCTTCAGCAACTGGCAATATTATCGGTCTTCACACAACAGGTGTGGCTCATAGCCTATTGCATGAATGACCAGTGCCAAGTAACCGTTCGAACAACACGATTTCAAATCCTGCTTCATTCAGCAAATTTCGGAAGCCAGAGAATAATGCAACACAGACTAATAGGTGTGACTTAAGGTATATGAATCTTGTCAACTATCCAAAATATAAATAACCACAGCATGATTTAAATTCGACAAGAGCAACTACAAAGTTTGAGATGAAAATAAAGTAATTCATAAACATCAGTAACTACTTCATTGATTATCCCGATATACGAGAAGGGAGACAAGTCTTCCTGTGATAATCACAGGGGGATTAGCTCGCTAATATAGTATCTGAAGTTCTAGGCTCAATAATAATGCGTAGACTAAGTGATCCGAGGGAGGCACAAACACGAGAAAACCAGGCAGATTTTAGACCAGGAAGAGGGTGTATTGATCATATCTTCACCCTTCTCCAAATTCTGGAACATAGGCATACTTACCGGCGTTCAACAATCGTTATATTTCTTGACCTAAAGGCAACACTCGATTCTGTCGACCGGGAGGTATTATGGCGATGTTTGGCTGTAAAAGGGATGCGGAGAAAATACATTGCACTGATCAAGGCACTCTACTCATGGAACCAGGTAAGAGCTTACGGCGAGTTGTCATCTGAAATGGTGACAACTAGTGGTGTCCATCAGGTATGCCCACTATCCCAATTTCTGTTTAATTTCATCGTAGATATACTAATGGACTTAACCCCAACTCACTTCAGAGACTCGGGGATTGACTTCCTACCAGGGAATAATCTCGTTAACTTAGAATATACAGATGATATAGTCCTTCTAGGTGAAGACGCTGACAAAATGCAGTCTTCTGAACACTTTGAGCTGCAATCTGCGAATGTTTGGCATGCGATTCGCTCCCGTCAAATGTAGGATGATGCTACAGGACTGGACCACATTCACTCCTAGCTTATAGATATGGAGTGAAGTGGTAGAGAGTGTTAACCACTTCACTTATTTGGGAAGTTGCATCAGCCAACGCCAGAGGGCTGATCATTGACGAAATCTCAGCACCGATACAGAAGGCTCGTTTCGCATATGCCACTTTACGCCGTCTCTGGCATGGAGGTGATATCCGGCTATCGACCAAAAGGCGTGTGTACTGTTCAGCAGTCCGCTCCGTCTTCATTTATCACTGCGAGTGTAACCTGGCCATTGTTAGTGGAAGATATGAAAAGGCTAGCTGTCTTTGATCATAGATGCCTGTGTTCTGTCTGCCATGTGAAGTGGTATAATAGGGTGAGCAATATTGAGGTTAGGCGTCGAGTGCTAGGTAAGGAGGTGAAATCAATCGACGAGGCTACATCGACTGAGATGGTTAGGACATGTGTTACGCATGCCTAGTCATCGCCTTCCTCGACCGGCAATGTTAGCTGACACAGGGTCAGGTTGGAAGAGAGCTAGTGGTGGTCAAACCAAAACATGGCATCAGTCAATGAAATCTACAACGGTTAGTCCAAGCCGGCCACGTAGGAAAGTGTAGACTTCCTGGTTGGGGTCCTCGGGACGGTCAAAACCAATGACTGGAGACAATCAGTGATATGGCTCGAAATCGTTCGCAGTGGTGCAGATGCATCCACTCCTTGTGACTTATAATACCCAACAAAACTATACTGTTCTTCGATATTATTCTTTTTGCCTCATATCTCTGTTTACATTCTCTATTTTGCATTTCTTTTTACTTTCTTCTCTTACTTTGTGTGCTACATGGAGTGTGGTTAGCCGAACTGCTGCACATAGGTGCAAAGTTCTATGTTGAAACCAGTCAGTCAGTTTACACCTGAGAAAATCGGAGGTAAGAGCGTGGTTTATCTAAATTGGATTTTAGAATGAATATCAAAAAGAATTAGAAGGTCCTTTACTTCTCAAAGCTCGACTGTGCTGTAAATTTAGTATGGCCGTCTTTACAGATTACACATGCGCAGTGTTTAAAAATAGAAGACGTCTCTAACTTGAAAGCAATAACTTGGGGATCATTAAAAATTAACTCAAGGACAACTCACTACGTCCAGTGTTTTTATAACAGTAGCTATTTTACTCCAGTCATTAATGTAAGTCTGTCTTGAAGGCGAGTGTCGAAATTAGTTACACAACCACATTTTCTCTAATCTATAAGTACGTGTTTAGTGTAGATCAAGAGTAACGCTCGTTTTTTCGGTTTTTCAGTCTATGGATATAATCTGCCTTGTGAAAAGCATTTCGTATACATTTAAATTTAGATATACTCTAACTAAGATTCAAACGTAATATATTTAAATATTGTAAACATAGTAAGTATCAAAATTCAAAAATCCTATTGTTATATTTTTCCGCATGAAAAAGCGAACTAATTTGACTGATCACTTGAAGAATTGCATCAGTACTGGTAGATCCAAATTTTCAAATGATTCACAAGCAAGTCATTACGAAATGATAGGACTGCATACAATTATTTTAACCCCATCGTCGGTAAATACGAAATCATATGATCAACAACCGATTGATCTGTTAATCTTTTCACATAAATCTAATTGACAGGTAAATGTCAGATCAGATTGTTCGAAATGTACTGAGCGAATACATCACATTTTTCAGATAATCTCTGCCTTCTAATAACACTATTCTGATTTATAAAAGGAACTAATTGTTTTAAATATATTATGCGCCATACAGAAATTACATCAAGCAAAGCAGTCTTACAGGTTACTCAACTTTTGTGGTAAACGTTAAGAAAAGAGAACCTACAGTTTTCTCAGAAATACTATTTAATACATTTTGAAACGTACTGCATTTTCATTGTGCGTCGGTGACACAGATGTAGAATGCTCGCCAACCACGCAGGTGGTTCGGGGTTCGAGCCCCGGCCGACGCACCTCTTCACCTCGCTAAGCCAACAATAGGACTGGTAAAGAAGGAAGGTTGGGCGCCATCCCGTAAAAATAAACACCACTGCTACAGAAACTTCAAGCCTCTAGCTTGAAGACCTATGTTCCACTGGGAACGTGAAGGAATTAAAAAAACTACATTTTCATTATACAACAATAAAAGCGTATTGCCTAGCCATTTATACAGAATGAAAATGCTACAGCACAGTTTTGACTTGCACAGCTTACAAGATTTGTAAGCAAACATGTACTAAAAACCACCAAATTAATCGTGAGATCAGTTACAGACATATAACCATAATATGTGGCTCGTCTATGCAAACATTTTCTGGAAAGTTTAATTTATTAACCATGTGGAATAAAGTTGAGGCGTCTAAAATAGTTGGGGTTATTGAAATTTATGAGATTCTAAACCAGAAATTATTTGGTGATGTAATGATAGCAAAGCAACGTTTTGTGATGAGAAAGAGGAACTCACACATCATAAGCTCTATAAATGTCAAAAAATAATTTTCGGTCATTTTTATTTTGCTAATATATGTAACTAGAAAGCAGGTTACACAGGAGAGCTAGTTGATTTGGAGTCGAAAGTGAGTAACTTTTGTCTAACAACTATGAAACTATCCTATTCGATGGTTGAATAATAAGTGAAGTAGCATTAGTCCACGTTTCTGTTTTAAACAGGAAAGAAAGAGGAACTTGGACACAAAATACTTAAACAGAGAATATTGAACATAACTGCAGCTTTTCCGCTGGTTTCCAGGTATTTCATTGTCTCCTAACACCATTCTCTGAAATCTCGTGGACCCTAACCAGTACACATATATAAGTCAAACGAACACTTACAAAACCCCAGGAACGGGTGTCTTGCTATTTTCTGAATACCTTACAAATTTCACTGACGTCTTCCTACTCTATTAATAATATTTAACTTTAAATGTTAAATCTGGCTAGTTCAGTAAGTTAAAAATGCCAATCAGCTAAACCACCTTCCTCTCAATAAAGTATACAACTCTGCTTTAGTTTGACTTTATCAACTGGGAAAACCCTTAATGAATTTAAAATAAAGAACTTAGGCGTCAGGTGAAGTGATTAGCTTAACATGTCAACTAACCTAAATATATACTTAGGAAAGACGCTAAAAATATTTTGCAGTCAGGATGTATTGCATAGTATCGCGATAGTAATGGTACATTTAACATACTCCATGTATCATATTACGTAATTGGTCATGTACTGTGCAGCAGATACCTGGTTGCCATTTCTACCAAGAGATTGATACATTAGACATGCATTTCCGATTAAAATAAGTAATCCCATCAAGGTAGCTGTATATCTTTATCGAGGGGCGCGCTAAGAACATGTTACACACGCTAAGTTACTGTTTTCCTTCGGGAATGTCAGCAAAATATGATTAGACTGGAAAAACCAGAGGGTAATCAAAATAATCCATCACCTTACATATTCATTGACTTTCAGTCTAGTTAGCGTAAGTGTGAGTTGCAAGACTAGAGCTATTTTTAACACTCGAAATGATATGTATCCATACTTAGTCCTTATCTGAGTGCCGCACCAACTCGGAAATTCACACAGAATTTCACCAACTGAAGTTGTCACACTCCCAAAAAGCATACAGAGGGCAGCAGGAACAGAATGGTGCTGCGACAGACATGAGTGAGACGCAGAGAACACAAATGCAAGACGGAAATGTGTGGATAAATCACCGCCATTATACACAATTCTGATCGATTTCACAAACTCTATTCAATGACTCTAAGCCTTTGGTTTTCTGTTTATAATGAACATACTTCCAATGCTTTATTTTTATCTCTTCAACGTCCTAAATGACGTGTGAAAAGTGGTTTAACGACTGGTACACTGAAGTGGACTGAATTTTTAACGTAGAACCTCTTAAAAAAGTTAAAGTTGCCACACTTCATAAAACCACACAGTTACGGCAAGAGTGCAGGGAAACTATAACAAACAGAAGTATTAAGGTGAAATAGTAACTACGTGGGGAATGACGAGAATTTAATGGACTAGCGAGCTCCCAGAAAGCGAATGCATCTACGTCAATGAGGACGATTTTCAGCTGTAACAAACGACTGTCAGCCACTGATTCATCAAGTCTTGATAACCCCAGTCAAGCAGTTTGCACTAACCTACGTGAATCAAACCAAAAAAGACTTTTCCATGTTCTCATAAAACCACGCCTATGACTGCTAACACTGCAGTGTGGAAGCCAATGGTTTAGCATTAAACACTGCATTTTGATCAATGGTTTCCTAATACGAATTAATGAGGTATTTTACAAGTCTTTACCTAATTTCATCCTTTTTAATCCGTTCAAGAAGTTTTGGAATATTCATGTCATAAACACTTTCCATTTTCAAATATACTGTGAGATATTGTTGGGACATTATGAATGAATATAATATTTTATCATGAAAAATTCAGATATTTAGTAAGTATGACAAGAGGTTGTACACATACTTAACTTACCAAACCCGCAGACATGTATGCTGACTTGGCAGCAGAGTTGATTATCTGATCTATCGCCTGCATTGCAAAATTAAACGTCATAAATTCGCATATCGGTTTAAGACCAGCCATGGCTGCCCCAACAGCAATTCCAGCGAAACCCATCTTTATTTTAAATTATTTACATTTAGTTGAAAAACAACATACTTCTGTTATGGGTGTATCCATAACACGACTATCGCCAAATGTTTTCCACAGACCTTTAGTGACCTGAAATGTCATGTAAAAAGCGAGGAAGAAAACAAACTTTGTAGGCCCCATCGTACTGAGCAACTTCTTCTCCTAAAATAATAACATCTTTGTCGCGTTCCAGTTCTTCACGCATAGCAGAATTGAGAGCGTCCCTAACAGTCATCTTAGTAGCGAAAGCTGCACGTGATGTGCTAAAAAATCGACTGCACACATTGGGCCTACAATTCTAAAAAAACCCGCATTCGTTAGGTTTCGGATTTCCCCAACACCTCACCTTAATCAGCGAAACGATACACTGGGAAACAGCCATCTAGGTAATCTGCGGAATCTAAGCGCCTGACCTAGAGCAAGTACATATGTTACTATATAGTTGATATACATTAATAAAACAGATAAGTAAATGTCAAAGCATTTTGATAGCATTCAACGACATGCACAGAGGGAAAATTACAGTTATTCTGAGATCATATATAAACTTATGTTTAACGGAATTAGAGCAAGCAATACAGAACGCGCGTTACTAATTTCAGTTGTTGAACATGTTAACTTTTTTGACTTCTCAATCTCCTTTAGAATATATGAACATAAGGTGCTGTAACCACCCTCTCATGTTATGTTGGCTGAAACTAACACTCTGCTATGTTTTTACGATCTTATATAAACCTCATGAATCCTTAGCTCTCCCTCTTGCTGCCTCGGAACAGTTCCGGGCTTTTGGTGGACTGCAGTATACCCTGTGTACCCTCGACTAACGAGGCTTAGTCGTGTAGCGGTAAAAAATTCCCCAAAATTATTGACCACAGCAATCATCACTGAACATTGGATGCTGACCCTCACTGTTTAAGTCGACTTGTTTAACTGAAGGATTCCGGTCAAGCATCCATGCCATTCGGTACTCCGTCGTGTCAAGTTCGTGCACGATCACTAGCTAGTTAAGCATTCATCACGGTTCACTATTTGGTCCCGAAATATATCTCGTACTTTGGACGATCATTTGTGGCGTTTCGCTTTGTCTTTGGTACACGAGGAACGAATACTATAGAAGTTGTTGGTATAAGATCTTGCGTTAGTATACTCCGTACAATTCGCGAACGTCAATACCGTCAGCCGCTAAAGTCAGATCTAACAGAAAGAAGTCTCCAGCTTTATTTTGTAGAGAATATACAGTTTGTACTCGATCAGTAGTCCTACTGGAACTTCCGATTTTCCTCATGCCATCCAATCCCTCGGTTAAGTCAGCATATACGGCAGAGAAAATGGTAGTAACCAAGTTGAAGGGAAGTTGGCGGACGAGAAAACTAAAAATCTGCAATCAGAGAAAAATAAACCAGTGTAGGGAAAGCAAGGAAATAGGAATACACTGACACTCTGAAAAAAGTATGCAGCTAGACAGGTAAAGTACTGCATATCAGTGGAGTACTTATGCATAAGTATGATATTTGTGGTGCTCGGATGGTCCTACAACAAATCTACGTCCCTCACGGATATGTGGAGGCCTGTCGTTTCTGGGTGCGTTATCGACTATGTGAAATAGGAGGGTGTAAGCGCTTCTAGCCACCTGAGCTTGAATCAGACCGCTAAAGTGGCTTCGATAGCACAATCTGTATAGTTAGCACTTGTGTCTGATTTATCTGTCGAAGGCAACCCGAAATTCCACTCCCTCTGTAGGAGAGGTAAGGTGTATTGAGGCTGTAGGGAAGCTTTTTCATGAAGGTATATGCGTGCATCATCCGACCCTCTGATAGTCTTTTGTACTCACCTATGCATATGGTATCAAAGGCTGAGCATGACTGGTGACCATGTGGGGTTACATACACTTCAATAAAACTACTGCCCCAGATAGTTATTCCATCCCTCAATTGCATCATTTCTTTCTGACACTGCATGGTAAGACTATTTTCTCCTAAGTGGATTTGGTCAGAGCTTATCATCAGATACCAGTCGCTACCGAGGCATTTAGAAGACAGCCACCTTTGGCTTGTACGAATTCCTACGAGTTCCATTCGGTTTGGAAAATGTTGCACAGTCCTTGCACCGCTCGATGGACTAAGCCACTGAAGGTTTTAATTTTGTGTTCCTTGATATGGACGTATTAATTGCTAGCAGGTTAGTAGAAGAATATTAAAGATCACCTCAGCATTTTGTGACAGTATTTCGAACAATATGTTGTTGTTATAAACCCTAGGAAGTGCATTTTCGGTGTCTCTTCTATGCACTTTCTGAAACATTACACAATCGCGAACGGAATCAGGCCTAGGGAGGAGAAGGCAGATAGTATCGAAACTTCCCTCAACCAGACTTATCACGAAGAATCCAACGATTTTTGGGCATGTTCAGTTTCTGTCGACGTTCTATTCCTTCACGTGCCTCCATCGTACAACCTTTAAATGATCTCCTTAAAAGTGACCCCAGAAAGTTCCAGTAGTTAGCACAAGCACACGAATCATTCTAAAACGCCAAAGACACTTCGTCCAAATTCGTCATGTTGTCCAACATGGCGGTACGTTCGAAATTGGTGACATTTTCGCACGTGTTTGCTCTGAAATTCATTTACTGCTTATAGTCATATAATCCTTGAAATTATGGTCCAAATCTCTAAAAAGCGTGTTCGTAGAAACGCAATTGTTTTAGATAGTGGCTCAACCTCGGTTATAACTGCATTACCACCCTGTAATACAGCATTAACTACTAGCTCACCAAATGGCTTGAGTGCAATTCTCACTCCTGTGATACAGGTGAAAGATGTTCTGTTAGAGAACTCTGAGTTCTGTAAATTAAACCTCCTTGTGTATGATATCCAGAGGCAAGTAAGTGTACTTCAGGAAAAATTAGGTCAGTTTGATAGCATATCACTGCCAATCTCAAATATCACGGAGAGCCGCACTGATGTTGGCCAGGTTAAGTCTTTACTAGATTTAACTCAAAACAAGCTTGCGGATTTAGACCCAATAGCCTCTCTGTTAAAAAACATCCTAAAATGTCTCCAGACATCCTAAATAGGGCTGAAAATATGATTGACTGCTTGGCTGCGGAGGTGATGAAGTGTATAACCTCTTCTTATCAGGCTATAGTTTACAACGTCCCAGATTCTCTTCCTCTGAAGACTGTAAAACACAAAATCCTGATTTCTTGCGGCATGGGTAGTGTTCCATGTGAATGCAGGTCTTCGCAAAAGTCTAACCAGACTAATTGTCCCATCATTTTTAAATTCAGAAATTCCCTTGATTCTAGTAAGTTTACTAAATGTCAGGATCACCTAAGACTGAATAGCAGTTATAAGTCTATAACCATAGCTCAGGATAAAACACCGTGTCAGCGCAGAATAATGCGTAGTAATAACCTGGTCACCTCCTCTAGCTTAGATTTACCAAATAAGGATCGTGCACAGCAACGGTCACCTGATGCTGACATTAGCGTCCAGTAAACTACACAACAACCACGCTTGCCAATGGAACTAGGAACTAATTTAGATACCAGTAGCCCTGTAAATAACGTCTCACCGAAAGATGTTAAAATAGGTAGAACTGCTGCAAGCTGTTCTAAGAAATTCTTACCCAAACGTGGTAACCTCACCACTATGAACAAATTTCGCCGTGTTGAGACTAATGATGGGGAAGAATACTTTGTATTCAATAAGCTTGCTGAGTGTAAGAGTGTCAACAAACCCTCATCTGTTACGAAAACTCCTCCCGAAACACAAGTATATCTGGAGGTTTTCAGTATGCACCACCTTATAGAAAGTCAGGCCCCAAAACCCCCAAAGTCTTGCAACCGAAGCACCTTCCCTCTCAATTTCCTTTAAGTTATAAAACCAACACGAAGGTGTGTACTGCTATGACGAATAGCACATGTATGGGTAGACCTTTTGATGCTATGCTTTTTAACCGTCAACCCAGGCCCAACATCTACTATCCTTATATCCAGGAACACATGGTAAATTTTCCAAATGTCCCAAACCACTGGTACGACCCATGGCACCTAGGAACACCTCACTGCACTCTAACCCCGATGTACAGACACCCAGTCCGACCGCCCTATGCTTCATGAACTCTTGCGTTGCTGACGAACAAACAGAATTAGGTTATGGTGATATCTTAAGCCAGTTTGTAGTATCCCGTGACTTATTCACGATATTGCTAATTAATGCACGTTCCTTAATCAATGAGATATCTGAACTAAGGACATTATTATTTATCTCCAAGCCTACTGTAGCTCTGATTACTGAATCATGGTGCTCATACTCCGTACTTGATGTGAATATGGGCATAGATGATTACGCTGTATACCGTGCAAATAGAGACTGCAAGCGTGGTGGGGGATGTCTCATATATATACATAACTCATTCGTAGCCAGTAAAGTGGAAGATGAAATACTGAACGACGTACCTGATTCACTCTGTGTTGTCTTACAAGGAGATAAGTACAAGCTTCTCATAGGCTGTGCTTATCGAGCACCAAGCTCAACCAAAGAAACTGATGCACTATTAGCTAAATCATTCGCACACGCCTCATCGTTTAGTACTAATTACAAAATAATTGCAGGGGACTTCAATCTTCCAGAAGTCAATTGGTTAAGTGGTTCCGGCCCCCATACTCTTCGATGGATTACTTGCCACTATCGATTGTTATGGATGGCAGCAACACTTCCGGACACCTACTCGTGGTGACAACATGTTGGACCTTGTGTTTTGTCATGACAGAATCCCAGTCTCTACCTACGTTGGTAACAGATCTTCCAGTGGTGACCATAGAATGGTACTCTGTTCTCTGCCTTTCTCACCACTAAATACAGGAAACAAACAGGATTCAGGGAGCTTGATATGTCGTAGTTACAAACATACAGACTGGGGATTAGTCCAAGAACTCATTCGACTCTGTCACTGGGATGAATATTTTACCACTGACTCCCTGGAGAGTGTAGTGTCCCTATTTTACAGGAATGTTATCCTTTGTCTAGATACTGTTGCTCCTAAGAAGGTAGTGAAATTAAGTAGACACCAAGCTGAATACATTCCGAGGGCATACCGCAATAAGTTAAGGAAGTTGAAGAAACAGTACTATTCCACTAAAGATATATCACTACTGCACTCAATCCACGGGTCTCTTGAATCTATCAAGCGCCAACGCTCGCAAAAGGACCTCGAAGAAGAATTAAGGGCACTTGAAAGCAACTCCAAAGTTTATAACTTAACAACACTTCTTAAAAAACGAATGCAGTCGACGAGGGACATCCCCTATTTACTTCACGACAACGTTATCTACAATGAGCCTGCCACTATCTGTGAAATATTCAGTGAGTGGTTTGCAAACTTCAGTTTAGAAACGCACATTCCCGGTGAAACCGGCCCCCTTACTAGCTCTTTCCTCGGAAGCATAGTGTTCACCAACGAATTAATAGAACAAGCAGTTAAAAGCTTGAAACCTTCCACTAGCACGGAACCAGATGGCCTTGCTCCTATAATTTTCAAAAACAGTGGGTGTAATATACCCCTATTACTTATT